TGCGCTCATCCACTCGTCCTGGTGTGAAATACTGCGACTGCATGTCTGGGCTGACAGGTCATTCACACCCACAGAAACACCACGTGAAACGTCATCCGAAACACATCCTAATGCGATGACTTCTATAATGTGATGTATTTAGAGTCTCAGTAACGCATTATATTTTCATCAACCAAGCAATCAGCAATAACATGAAGCGTGCACAATAAGACCAGGAACACGTATTACAAAAGTCAATCATTTAAAAAGTGTGCTTAACTAAAAAGTGAGATAATTAAGACTTTTTATTTGACAATTCATATTTTTTTTCTAACAATTATTTTTTATATCTTACAATTACGACTTATTTTCAGTTTTTCTCTCACAATTTTGCAATTATATTGCAATTATCCCTTAATTCTGACTTTTTCTCGCAATTCCGAGTTTATGTCTCGTAATTCTGACATTTTTCTCGAGTTTATTCCTCAGAATTCTGATTTTTTTTCTCACAATTCCGAGTTTATATCCCACAATTCTGACTTTTTTCCTCACAATGCCAAGTTTATATCCCACAATTCTGACTTTTTTCCTCACAATTCCAAGTTTATATCCCACAATTCTGACTTTTTTCCTCACAATTCCAAGTTTATATCCCACAATTCTGACTTTTTTCCTCACAATGCCAAGTTTATATCCCACAATTCTGACTTTTTTCCTCACAATTCCAAGTTTATATCCCACAATTCTGACTTTTTTCCTCATAATTCCAAGTTTATATCCCACAATTCTGACTTTTTTCCTCACAATTCCAAGTTTATATCCCACAATTCTGACTTTTTTCCTCACAATTCCAAGTTTATATTCCACAATTATGACTTTTTTCCTCGCAATTCCAAGTTTATATCCCACAATTGTGACTTTTTTCCTCACAATTCCAAGTTTATATCCCACAATTATGACTTTTTTCCTCACAATTCCAAGTTTTTATCCCACAATTGTGACTTTTTTCCTCACAATTCCAAGTTTATATCCCACATTTGTGACTTTTTTCCTCACAATTCCAAGTTTATATCCCACAATTATGACTTTTTTCCTCACAATTCCAAGTTTATATCCCACAATTATGACTTTTTTCCTCACAATTCCAAGTTTATATCCCACAATTCTGACTTTTTTCCTCACAATTCCAAGTTTATATCCCACAATTCTGACTTTTTTCCTCACAATTCCAAGTTTATATCCCACAATTCTGACTTTTTCCCTCACAATTCCAAGTTTATATTCCACAATTGTGACTTTTTTCCTCACAATTCCAAGTTTATATCCCACAATTCTGACTTTTTTCCTCACAATTCCAAGTTTATATCCCACAATTCTGACTTTTTTCCTCACAATTCCAAGTTTATATTCCACAATTGTGACTTTTTTCCTCACAATTCCAAGTTTATATCCCACAATTCTGACTTTTTTCCTCACAATTCCAAGTTTATATCCCACAATTCTGACTTTTTTCCTCACAATTCCAAGTTTATATCCCACAATTCTGACTTTTTTCCTCACAATTCCAAGTTTATATCCCACAATTCTGACTTTTTTCCTCACAATTCCAAGTTTATATCCCACAATTCTGACTTTTTTCCTCACAATTCCAAGTTTATATCCCACAATTGTGACTTTTTTCCTCACAATTCCAAGTTTATATTCCACAATTATGACTTTTTTCCTCGCAATTCCAAGTTTATATCCCACAATTCTGACTTTTTTCCTCACAATTCCAAGTTTATATCCCACAATTCTGACTTTTTTCCTCACAATTCCAAGTTTATATCCCACAATTCTGACTTTTTTCCTCACAATTCCAAGTTTATATCCCACAATTCTGACTTTTTTCCTCACAATTCCAAGTTTATATCCCACAATTCTGACTTTTTTCCTCACAATTCCAAGTTTATATCCCACAATTGTGACTTTTTTCCTCACAATTCCAAGTTTATATCCCACAATTATGACTTTTTTCCTCGCAATTCCAAGTTTATATCCCACAATTGTGACTTTTTTCCTCACAATTCAAAGTTTATATCCCACAATTTTGACTTTTATCTCACAATTCTGACTTTTTTCCTCACAATTCCGAGTTTATATCCCACAATTCTGACTTTTTTCCTCACAATTCCAAGTTTATACCCCACAATGACTTTTTTCCTCACAATTCCAAGTTTATATCCCACAATTCGGACTTTTTTCCTCACAATTCCAAGTTTATATCGCACAATTCTGACTTTTTTCCTCACAATTCCAAGTTTATATCCCACAATGACTTTTTTCCTCACAATTCCAAGTTTATGTCCCACAATTATGACTTTTTCTCACAATTCTGACTTTTTTCCTCACAATTTCGAGTTTATTCCTCAGAATCCTGACTTTTTTCTCCCAATTCCGAGTTTATAACCCCCAATTCTGACATTTTTCTCCCAATTCTGAGTTTATAACCCCAATTCTGACTTTTTTTGTCACAATTCCGAGTTTATATCCCACAATTCTGACTTGTTTCCTCGCGATTTCAAATTTATATCCCACAATTCTGACCTGTTTTCTCACAATTTTGATTTTATGCCTCAGAATCCTGACTTTTTTCTCGCAATTCCTTATCCCAAATTTCTGACCTTTTTCACACAATTTTTGATTTTATCTCACAATTCTGACCTTTTTCACACAATTTTGAGTTTATACCTCAGAATTCTGAGAAGAAAAGTCAGATTTGTGAGATAAAGTCACAATTATCCTTTTTTATTTTATTCCATGGCAGAAAAATAAAAGAAAAAATCTGAACTTTGATATGCAAACTTACAATTGTAAGAAAAAATCTGAATATGAGAAAAAAGGAGTATGCATGAGAAAAGACTCAACTTTTTCAATTCGCATGTATTGAATGCAGAAGCTCAGTATTTACTGCAGCGAATGACCTCTGAGTTCGACCTCTGAGAAAGTCAGAGCAGCCACAACAAACCACACCCATAATAACCCATAATCATTTCGGAAGAGAAGGCATCAGATCTGCACATTCACTGATGCTGATAGTTGAGTGTAATGTGCACGCATTTGAATCCTGTGTTAACCTGTTTGATTTCTGGCATACCTGCCTCATCTTTAATCAGATGCCAAGGGCATTTGCAGAAGCTTAAGGACAGAAACTGACAGAAATACTGGTCTTTCCTGTTGACCCAGAACCATCACTGATGACACAGTCAGGCACTTCAGGCACTTCATTTAAGTCTCTGGGTAACATCAAGATTAAAGTTTAAAACATTAATTCCACAAGCGTTATATACGTAAAGGGAAAGTGTTTTAAAATATTTAAAGTCTTGCACCATTTTAGCAGGTCACTTCAATAGATTTACATGCTCCAGTAGCCTACACTTCAAGTTACTAAAGTTAAACACTGAAGTTTAATGGCTTGATTAAATGATCAGTGGGGTCCCCGATCGTCAAGGATATGGTGATGGAAAAAATATGAGATATAGGAGGACAAAAATATATTTCAATGCTTTCAATGCACTTAAATCGTCATGCAAGTGCATTTCTGGAAGCGTTCTGTATTATGCTCTTTTAATTCATCAGATGTCATAAATCTGCATGCATGATCATTAACGTTTCAGAATAGTTTTAAACATGTAACGTTAATAATTAGCTTCCCTCAACAGTGCAGAGAGAGAGAGAGACGCCTCCCTCAGGCATGTGTGTGTTCAGATGCTGGTCTGTGGGAGTGACTTCAGATCGTTAAACTGCGCCTCTTCCCAGTGGAGTGTGTTTGTGTGTGTGTGTCGCTCAGTCCAGTTGCGCTCGGATGATCTCCACGACTGGTTTCATCTGGAGCCGCGGATCTGATCTCAGGTTCACTTTTAAACTCCGCCATTTTAGGTGAAACTGAGGCGCAGGCATGAGCATGTACGGGTCGCAGCAGCGCGGGCTCAACATGATGGGACGCCGCACGGGATCGCGCAGCGAGATAAACGCGGCGCCCGCGTATCCGTACGCGCGCAGTGAGGTGGTGGTGCAGCGGGGGAATAATGGGTTCACACAGGAATATGTGGAGGGATTCAACCAGACTTTCTCCAGAGGCTCGATGAGCGCGGGACAAGTGTGAGTAAACACCTGTTACTTGCGTTTGTTTGTTGTGTGTGTGAGTGTGTGCGCGCGCGCTTGTAACATATAGCAATTGCCTGCGTCATTTCACCTAGCGCTGTAAAAATTGACGATCAATAAGTCATGACTCATGACAACATATGTTTTTACATTGCTTCAACTCTTCAAAATAAGTTAAACAACTTTCAACTTTTTATATAAGTTATTCAAGATTCAACTCATTTTTTTAAGTCAGTTTCATGTCTTTTAAGTTGGAATGACTTAAACATCCAAGTTGATTGTACTTAAAAAATAAAAGCAGTGTGAATAATAATTAAATTTAGATTAAGTTTGCTTCAACATGTCATGCACTATATGCTATAGTGTAACATGGACACTAATGAATTTGTTTTTGTCTGCGAATGTTTCAGTTTCAAGTTGCTGCATAAGTCATTTCAGCTTAAATTAAATGAGTTGATATAACTTATAAAAAGAAACCGACAATTGCTTAAGTTGTTTTGATGAGTTAAAGCAATTGTAAAAAACATGTTGTTGATCATGTAATTGTTTTACAGTGAAAAAAATGTCATGAAAAATGTGAGTTTTGTGGAAAAAATTTAATTTGATATAAAATGGCATCCATTTAGATCGTTTAAACTAGTTTTAAAAGCAATAATGCAAAGAGAAGTAGGCCTATTTAACAAGGAGCGATGAAGTAAAACCGAAATAGTGCTCAAGGAAGTAAACCTGTATTATAATACAGCAGATGTTCAAAGGTTAATAATATGCCCATCAAAGGCTGTCATAACTGTGAGTAATAAAGAGTTATAAGTTGTGTAATGTTGAATGTAGGCCTGTGCGGGCAGGTGTAACACTATCTGCTCACTCTGCATGAGTCCACAGGTCAGACTTCCTGTAGATCCACTGCAGATCCTGCGGGAAAAGCCCACCGTTTCCAGGCACTCCACACAAATGCATGAGTCATTCGGCAGCTACTGCTCATAAACATGAATAATGACTCTGTCGTGCATTCACATGCATATCTCCATTCAAATGAGACTCTCGGGTCGTTTAGAAGTGTCTGTTTTCGGTTTGTTTACTGGCCAGATCTCGTTTGTTGAACTTTTGCACTGAAATATAAAATTTTGCTTCGAATTCGTTTCACTTGTTTTAAACACCTACTCAAGATATTAATGTAAAATAATGCATTAGATCAAATTAAATCAAATGAAACAATATTTTAGTTTGGTTTATTTTAAGAATTTATTTTAATGTTTATATGTTTTATTTTCAACAATATGCTTTAAAATGTTTTATATTGATATAATAATAAATTATATTAATTCAACACTTTTAAATATATAATGTTTAAAATATTTAGATATATTTGTAATAATATAAAGCCATATTTGAATGCATTTTTTATTACGTATATTTAATATATTTTAATATATATGATACCCTGGATAAAATTAAAAATATTTATATAAACAAACTGCATTATAATAAATATTAATTTTCAAAAATATGCTTTAAAATGCTTTTATATACATAATATAATAAAATATTTGTATACTTTTTAAATACATAGTATATTAAATATTTAAATTCTTAATATAATGTCATATTTTATTTTCAACAATAAAATGCTTTATATTTATATAATAATAAATTATATTTAAAACATTTTAAATATAATATTTAAATATATTTTTAATAATATAAAGTCATTTTAATGTGTAATTTTTAAATTATGTGTTTTTAATATATTTTAATATAAATGATACACCAGATAAAATGTAAAATATTTATTTTAATAAATTGTAATATGTATATAAACAAACTGTATTATAATAAATATTAATTTTCAAAAATATGCTTTAAAATGCTTTTATATACATAATATAATAAAATATTTGTATACTTTTTAAATATATAGTATATTAAATATTTAAATTCTTAATAATATAAGGCCATATTTTATTTTCAGAAATATGCTTTAAAATGCTTTATATTTATGTAATAATAATAATAATAAATTATATTAATTAAAAACTTTTTAAATATTTAATATTTAAATATATTTTTAATAATATAAAGTCATAATTTAATGTATAATTTTTAAATTATGTGTTTTTAATATATTTTAATAGAGATAAAATTTAAAATATTTATTTTAATAAATGTTAATATTTATATAAACAAACTGTATTATAATAAATATTAATTTTCAAAAATATGCTTTAAAATGTTTTTTATATGCATACAGAATATAATATATTTGTGTACTTTTAGTATATTACATATTTAAATTCTTAATAATATAATGCCATATTTTATATAAACATCAAAAATGATTATATACATATAATTTTTTAATGTTTAAATTTTAAAGCTGCTTTTTTAACTTGCATATTTTTAAAAGCGTAGTATATTTTTCCAACAGAAGCTGAGATTAAACTGCCTTTATCTAGATTATTAATTGCATAAGTGATCTATAACGAGCTGGAAACATATATTTGTCAGTTTGCAGGTTATAAGTCTTGTTTTCAGTATTCTAGAGATGTGTAATGTGAGTTTTTGGCGTCGCTGCGTCGGGTTTGACGGAGAGATTTCCCAGGAATGCAACGCAATAAATCTGAGAAGAACAAGCTGTTCATAAACCACCAAGAGTCTGTCAGTCGTCTTTAGAGAAGTGTTTACTCCAGAAACATTGCAGGGTGAACAGTGACAAGCCCATTTATACGTCTGTCTTCCTTAAACACACTGAAAATTGCCTTTCGTACAGTATCGGTCAAACGTTTGGAATAAATACGATGTTTTACCAAGGCGGCATTTATTTAATGCAGTAATAACAGTGAAATATTATTATGATTTAAAGGAAATGTTTTCTATTTGAGTGCATTTTAAAATGTAATGCATTCCTGTGATGCAAAGCTGATTTTGAGGTGTTTTGTGCCACCAGTCCTGCCATGCCGTCGATGCAACAGCAGATCTCCAATCTGCAGGTCCAGTGTCAGGAATACCTGGACAAGACCGCATTTATAATAAATTCTGTGAGTACCACACACACACGTTTGACCTTCCACTGTGGATTCAAGCTCATTTCAGGAGTTCACAGGATCATGCATGTGCCGTAAAGGTCATGACACGTTCATACACACGTCATTAACATTTCTCAGATAATAAAGCACTCGCGTCCCTCCTCCTCTGAGTCATTTTGGAAATGAAAGTGAAACACGTGATGTGTTTAAAACAAGGGGAGAACGGCAAGAAAAATAGACTTTGCATTTTAATTATGTTTTTTTTAAAATTATCTTACTATATGGGCGGGTATTTTCATATAACTCGCTCAATTAAAAAAAAAACAAGTCTTAATATCTTCAGTCATTTTGCTTCACAAGTACATTTATCTTGATTTAAGAATGTTTAGATATTTAAGCTGGAAAAGGCAAAATAAGACATAAATACTAAATATTAAAGCTTTTTAAAGTTAAAGTTTGAGCACAAAGTCCCTCCGTCTCTCAGAGTCAGTGTTCCTGAACTCCTGAAACGCCTCCATTGTATCTTGAGTTTCTCCCGGTCACAATATTCCTCATTATAATAATTCATGCGTAGAATAAAGGGGCGGGGCCTGTTGAGTTAGTTATAGTGTGTTAAACTGGCGGTTATGGAAAGGGGCGGGACTTTGATCCAGTGACACACTGATCCAGTCGACCAATCAGAGCACAGTGTGCTTTCAGAAGGAGGAGACAGGAAGTGAACAGAGCGTTCCTGACAGACTGGGAAGAGAGGAGCCGCAACAATGGAGAATATGAGGAGAATAATCAACATTTAACAGTAGAGCCTGAAACAATACCTCGAATAATTATTTGTAGTATCATTGATTTCAGTCATGTCGTTCTGAATAAGCTGAGAAGCGACTAGACGATGATGTTCATCATACAAAGACAAGATAATCAAAAACTGATTTTATTTGTGTCTCTAAGTTCAAAATGGCAAATACACAAAGGCTTAAAGTCACACACTCTTTGGCTTTTCTGACAGCTGGTTTCTATTGTTCTCTGTGTGTGTGTGTGTGTGTGTGTGTTTGCGCTGCAGGGCGGAGATCCAAGCGCTTTCATGGAGGCTCAGAGTTGTCTGGCGTCCGCTGCTGAAATCAATGAACAGCTCCGACTCATGGCCTCGGACCTTCGCCAGCAGAACGTGCCGTCGGACCGTGTCATCCGGAGGTGAGACACACACACATCATGCATTTACATGTTGTGTAGAAACCTCCCATTAACACCTCAAACACCCGTCATGTTGCAGAGATTTGCATCACATTCGCTTGGCCTTTTGCCATAATATTTACTAGAAGACAGTAGGATTAGGGATTTCTGTAAAAGAAAGTCATTTAAAAGTAATTTCTGCCTACTATCGGCTCCAATTGTTGTTCGTGTATTTATATAACGCCTGTAAAAGAGATTTTAATCTCAGTGCGGTTCTCTTCTGGTTATATGAAGGTAAATATATATATATATGAAGAGTTCAGATGCAAAAGCCTCTAAGTGCCGTTTGAAATTTTCTTCTAAAATGATCATTTTTATCAAGCTTGTATATTTAAGTTCAGTAATTTCACTTAAATGGCAATGAAGATTACCTATTAATTGTTATTTAAGTGAAATTACTGAACTTAGATATACAAGCTTGATAAAAATGGTCATTTTAGAAGAAAATTTCAAATGGCATTTAGAGGCTTTTGCATCTGAACTCTTCTGAATTCATTAAAAAATTCACTAAAAAAGGTAAAACTGTTGCATGCAAAACTCACATGTGGATGTTTTGATATATGTACACTACCGTTTAAATGTAGGACAGAAATGAACACTTTTAATTCAAGGACGCGTTCATTTGATCAAAAGTGACAGTAAAGACATTTTATAATGTTACAAAAGATTATATTTCAAATAAATGCTGTTCTTTTAAACTTTCGAAGAATCTTAAAAAAATGTAATACATCACAGTTTACACATAAATATGATAATAATCATAAATGTGTCTTGAGCATCAGATCCTCATATTAGAGTGATTTGTGGAGGGTCATGTGACGCTGAAGAGTAATGATGCTGAAAAATTCAGGAATAAATTACACTTGACTATATATTCACATAGAAAACTGATGATTTACATTAGAATAATATTTCACAATTTTTACTGTATTTTTGATTATATAAACACAGCTTTGGAGAGCAGAAGAGACTCTTAAAAGAATCTTACGGACCCCAAACTTTTAAATAGTGGTGTGTGTAAATCAGTGTTTCTTCGTTTCCTCATCTATGCTTTGTGCTTAAAACAAGGGAAGAAAATCGGTCAAGAAAATTAGACTGTCCATTTGAATTATGTTTTTTTTTAATATATATATATATATATTATTAGGGCTGTCAAACGATTAATCGCGATTAATCGCATCCAAAATAAAAGTTTGTGTTTCCATAATATATGTGGGTGCACTGTGTATAATTATTTTGTATATATATATAAATACACACACATCCTTGTATATATTTAAGAAATATTTTCATGTATATAGATTTATATATAATTTATATTATATATAAATATTTATATATAAATAATATTTTTTTCTTAAATATACATGCATGTGTGTGTATTTATATATATACAAAATAATTATACACAGTGCACCCACATATATTATGGAAACACAAACTTTTATTTTGGATGCGATTAATCGAGATTAATCGTTTGACAGCCCTAATTTATTACCACATTACATTTTTTTTCCTAATTTTAAGTGTAAACTCACCCAATTTTGATACTTTTTTCAATAAATTAAAAACAAGTGAAATTTATTCGAAGGATAGCCCCTTGAGATGTAACATCTCGTTTTCGAAAGGGGTCCTGAGAACAAACATAAATACAAACAGCATTTAACATTAGCATTTAACACAAGTCATACAGAATTTAATCTTTAGTAAGAAATGGAAAAGACAAAACTACTAAAGTGGTGATTGTGTGTAAAAAGTGTAAATATCTGCTTTTGCGTTACACCGAAGGAACAAAGTCAGTCATACGTGTTTGGAACAAAATGAGGATAAACAAAACTACTCGACTCAGTTTGTTACAGTCGTGTATATTGGTATACATTATCTGTATCTTCGGCTTGACTTATCTCACTGCATTTCTGTGTATCTATGCTCACTTCCACTGTAACCTTATATTCTCTCTGTGTGTGTGTGTGTGTGTGAACAGTGTGAATCTGTTTTCTGAGCAGATCCGAGAGCTCGATGCGGTTATGGCTGGTGTTCAGCAACAGAGCTGGAGCAGCAGGACGGTCCGTCGAACCGTGAGCCGTGAAGAACCCAACCGTTACTATAGCGACGCCATGGCCTGGATCCTCCAGCAGAGGGTACGTCACACACACACACACACACATTCTTTTAATCTATCTGTTAGTGCCACCACCAAACCCACTGGTCATCAGCCTGGACAACAAGTACGACTCACACACATTCGCTCTCTCTCACACACACACACACACACACGGCTCTGTTCACGACCTTATCAAAGTCTCGTAAGTCTTACACTGTGCGTTTTCACGTGTCGAGCAGGACTGGCCATGTTTATAATCCGCACGATTGTGAAATATTGCAATGGCTTTAATGTAGTTTCTGTGTGTTATTTGATATCATTTTTAGCAATATCAGCTGATTTCTATTACAATATAGGATATGAAAATATACAAAATATAGTAATAAATAACAATTTTATTTGACCAAAAATACAGTAAAAATTGTTCTAAATAAACAATTCTTATTCTAATGTAAATCATCTGCTGTCTATGTGAATATACAGTAAAGTGTAATTCAAAGCTGAGTTTTCTCTTCAGTGTCACATGATCCTTCAGAAATCACTCTAATATGATCTGATGATCAACAAACATTTATATATTTATATATCTCTGGAAAACGGCATACAATTTATTTTTTAAGATTGTTTGATGAATAAAAGGCTAAAAGACAGCATTTATATTAAGTGATAAATATCTTTAGGGTCAATTCTGAGCAGTTTAATGCATCCTTGCTGAATAAAAGTCTATATATCTTTTTAATGTTAGTGTATCTGATGTTTAATATACAGTGAAAGTGAAGCAGGATTCTCAACCAATGGGATCTCAGTGTGGGCGGAGCTTCTCGGCCTAAAGTGACAGAAATAGACTCAACTTAAAGCACAGAGATAGCCGTTATCTCGTGCGCTCTCTGATAGGACTGGAGGCGAGAGGTTTTCCCAGGACAAAACGAAAGAAAAACTGAGCAGATGAAATGAAGCTCAGAGAGATTAGAGCCAAAATACACAAACCTCACACTCGCCCACAGAAACACTGTTTTCAGACTCTCTCTCTCTCTCGGCCAGAATTCCTCAGACCCACGCTGGGGTCAATGACACGACACTCCTCCTGTCAGTGAGGTCAGAGTTAATGAGAAACAGAAGAGGCGATGTGTGTTTTCCCACATAACATTCCTGCGGATTTCTCTCCAACTTATGAACAAACGTTCTGCCAGTAACATTAGCATAAAAAAAGTATTATTATTTTTTAAATGTAACTACTTGTTTGAGAATGTTCCGAGAACCTTCAGAAGTGACGTTCCAAATCTGTTTGAAGAATTTTCAAATGGAATGTACAAAAACGTTTTACATAGAACATTCATTCAGAGTAATCTGCCCTTTAAAGCTACAATATGTATGATTTTTTTAATACAATATCCAAAAATCACTTGCACATTGTGATATATTTCAGTTGTGTACTTATCCCAAAAGTTCCCAAAGATTTTTAATTCCAGAGAAATTTTAAATTAAATTTTAATTTTAATTTAATTCATTTTAATTTAATCCCATTTTAAATAATGGCTCGTCCACGTTCACGATGTAACGATTCCCTCACGATATGATATTATTGAGATACGATTAGGTCAACAGAAAATGTACCCTTGATTAAAATGAAAAAATTGTTACATTGTGTGTGTAGATGAATAGTCTTGGTGCTGAAACCCAAAGCACAGACAATAAGAGACACCAGAAGAACAATATTCATGATTCTGAAGAAATTATTTTAGATGAATATGCTTGATATCCGTCACTGACTAGAGATATTTAGTTATTATATACATTATACATTATATAATCAACATTATATATAGTAGTTTACACTAAAACTCTCACACAGACATTTTATTCTGGGTGAACTCTCCATGATGCATATTGTTGCATTTTTGTATTGCGATATATTGAGACACAGATTATTTGGACGTCCGTTAAACGTTTTTTAAATGTTGCAGAACATTCCGAGAACATTCAAATGTAACATTCCAAATGTGTTTGAGGAATGATGAAATGGAATGTTCACTTTAACACTCGCATGACCAAATACCTAACTTTACTTCTCTATATTTCTATTAAATCCTAATCTAATTATGACAAATTATATCTTGTTGGAAAGACTTCTAAATAGATATACTACCCCTGTTTTGTGTTAAAAATTATGTAGGAAGAGTAATTGATGAATTTATGACACGAGTGCACCTCAAAAAATCTGCATCATAACAGGAGTTTTGACCTTTGTCACAAAAAGTCGATGCACCCACTTTTAATCATTGAAACTTCTGTTTTTATGCTAAAAGTTCATAATATGAATATTAACTTTTTTCATCATAATATGAATATATATAGTATACCATTATCCTCTAAAAATGATAATATTTATATTTATTATCCTCTAAAATATAATTTTATTTTTTATCGCCTTTTTTATTCTATCACATATTTTAGTAGTTATCATAAATTAGGTATCATTTGAAAGCTTTTAAATTCAGAATTCATCGTGTGAAACTGTTTTATAATTGAACGTTGCGTTACCATAGAAACGATACTTGTTTTATCAGGCTCCTCCCCTTTTTGGGCATCATTATATTTCAGAATTTATGATCAAAACCTTTTCTAATCTTGACAAAATTGATATTGTCAGAAAGGTCTGAGTCTCAAGGTTCCGAATTTTGTGACAGAATTGATATTTGGACAGAAATGTATTAATTTGTTAAGGCAGAATGTATACAACTAAATTCAATGGAATTCAATGGCACCCGGTGGCTATTTTTGGTATTACGCCTAAACAAAATCTCATGGGAACTTCAATTTTTGTGATATCAACTTCAAATTTGGAACATAACTTGATAAGATTTATGGCTTTGATTTTATAGAAATTTTAGATTAAAAAAATATTTTGTAAAATATATATTTTATATACAATAAAAAATATATAGTACAGTATATTTGATTTACTGTAAATTTAAACTTCCATAACTTTTTCATACTTTCATTTTTTGAAGTGTTTTCACTTCAGCAATATTTTGCTGAGTGTTTTCTTTAAAACAAGACCAAACTTGGGTATATTCCAAAGCATTCTTAAATTACAACCATTTAAGTTTTAATAGTGCATTTTAACCCCCATTCTCAAAAAGAGGGGTGACAGCTAAGGGGTTAAAAAACTGGACGTTTTGAACATTCAAAAATTATATTTGTATAACTAAACTATGCAAATTGTAAGAAAACAAAACGGATTATAATATGAGCGATGCAACAAAACAAGCCATGTGATTCGTTGTTAGTTATAATTGACTTTTAGTTGACTGTCTAAACATCCTCTTCATGCATTTCTTTGCCCGATTTGTAAATGTGCAGATAATCTGATGTTAAGTGTGTGTATGTGTGTGTGTGTGTGCAGCGGCTGATCGAGACAGCATTATGGGGAGATGATCTACCAGCCATTGAACAGCAGATAGCCAATCACAGAGCGTTTCACAGCTCCATCCAGAGAAGTGAGGAAGTGGATCGAGCCCGAACGGAGCTGGTGAGTTCATGACGAAACACACAAGTGACCTTCATGACGAAACACACACATCACTTCAGCACAGAGAGATCTCGATCCGCACCGTACAGGCACAATCAGAATATGGTGCAAAAGTTCATTTATTTCAGTAATTCAACTTAAAAGGTGAAACTAATATATTATATTGACTCGTTACATGCAAAGTGAGATATTTCAAGCCTTTATTTGTTATAATTGTGAATGATGATTATGGCTTGAAACCCTTTTCACAATATTCTAATTTTGAATTTGGGGTTTTCATATCTGTAAGCCATAATCATCACAATTATAACACATAAAGGCTTGAAACATGCCTGGTTTGCTTACACAAATTGATAATAATTTGATCACTGTACATTTTTCACCTCAGAATCATAAGAAAAATGTAAGAAATATATTTTACAAAAATAAAATATAGCCTACTTTTTGGACAGGATCACTTTTTTGCGTTTTAATTGCAAATATATGCACATATATGAGTGTGTGTGTGTGTGTGTGTTCAAAAGTATGTAATAATTAAGATTATATAACATTTTTGAAAGAACTCTATTCTGCTTTCCAGATTTAAGGCTGGATTTATTAGATCAAAAATACAGTAAAAATTGTAAAATATTATTCCAGTGTAAAACACCTTTTTTTTATGTGTATATACAGTAAAGTATAATTTATTCCTGTGATCAAAGCTGAATTTATCATCATTACTCCAATCTCTAGTGTCACATGATCCTTCAGGAGTGATTCTTATATGATAATTTGATCATTAATGTTATTTAAATAAAAGTCTATATTCATCATGGCAGTTTTGGTGTGTGTTTTGACTTCTAGATGCGCCTAAAAGACCAAAACACAGATGGAAACAAATCCTTTCTCAACAAACTGGAGCAAGAATGGGACGGTCTACAGGTGAGACGGTTCAGAAACACACTGTGGTTATTAGCGATGTTTCCAATAGCGGATTTCTCTCGTCTCGGGGGAAAATGAGAGAGTGTTGCACAGTATACCATTCAACAGTATAACTGGGGTTTCTAACAATGGAAATCTTAGGCAGCAGTCTGACACTTAAACCAACGAGTGTTTGAACGATCAATTTGCGACAGTATGGTTTCGGGAAACAGTCGGGACGAGCTAGATGATTTCTTCAACGATGCATCGCACTATAGTAGTGTTGTACAGGAAACACACTCCTGTATGATTTGCTTTAATTCCCTCCAAAAGTGTAGTTTAGTTTAGTTTAGTTGTAGTTTATTTTACTTTAGTTTAGTTTAGTTGTAGTTTAGTTGTAGTTTAGTTGTAGTTTCGTTTTAGTTTAGTTTAGTTTAGTTTTTAGTTTAGTTTAGTTTGTTTTAGTGTAGTTGTAGTTTAGTTGTAGTTTAGTTTAGTTTAGTTTAGTTTTAGTAGTAGTTTAGTTTAGTTGTAGTTTAGTTTAGTTTTAGTTTATTTTTAGTTGTAGTTTAGTTTTAGTTTAGTTTTAGTTTAGTTTAGTTTTAGTTTAGTTGTAGTTTAGTTGTAGTTTCGTTTTAGTTTCGTTTTAGTTTAGTTTAGTTTTTAGTTTAGTTTAGTTTTAGTTTAGTTTAGTTTAGTTTTAGTAGTAGTTTAGTTTAGTTTTAGTTTAGTTGTAGTTTAGTTTAGTTTTAGTTTTAGTTTTATTTTAGTTTAGTTTAGTTGTAGTTTAATTTAGTTTAGTTGTAGTTTAGTTTTAGTTTAGTTTAGTTTAGTTTAGTTTAGTTGTAGTTCAGTTGTAGTTTAGTTTAGTTGTAGTTTAGTTTAGTTTAATTTAGTTTTAGTTTTAGTTTAGTTTAGTTTAGTTTAGTTTAGTTTAGTTTAGTTTAGTTTAGTTTAGTTTAGTTTAGTTTAGTTTAGTTTTAGTTTAGTTTTAGTTTAGTTTAGTTGTAGTTTAGTTTAATTTAGTTTTAGTTTAATTTAGTTGTAGTTTAGTTTAGTTTAGTTTTAGTTTAGTTTTATTTTAGTTTAGTTTAGTTGTAGTTTAGTTTAGTTTAGTTTAGTTGTAGTTTAGTTTAGTTTAATTTAGTTTAGTTGTAGTTTAGTTTTAGTTTAATTTAGTTTAGTTTAGTTTAGTTTAGTTTAGTTGTAGTTTAGTTTAGTTTAGTTTAGTTTTAGTTTAGTTTAGTTGTAGTTTAGTTGTAGTTTAGTTTAGTTTTAGTTTAGTTTTAGTTTAGTTTAGTTTAGTTTAGTTTAAGTTTAGTTTTAATTTAGTTTAGTTTAGTTTAGTTTTAGTTTAATTTAGTTGTAGTTTAGTTTAGTTTTAGTTTAGATTAGTTTTCGACTTCGTTTGGAAACACATCTACTGTTAATCAAATGCAGCGGCACATCCCGTGTGTCAGTGTGTGTGCAAGTTACAAACATCATGGTTTGATCTTCAGAAAAGCTCGTACCAGCGCAGCGTTCAGCTCCAGGACCTGCACAACATCATCGAGGAGATCTCGGGTCAGATCATGTGGGTGAACGACCGCGAGGAGGAGGAGCTGGTGTTCGACTGGGGCGATAAAAACATTGACGGCTACCTCCCGCAGAAACACGAGGCCTTCTCGGTGAGAGCGACCGCACACACTCACACACACACACACACACACACCTGTGTCCATGACTGACGATGTGTGTGTGTGTGTGTGTGTGTGTGTGTGGAGTCTACTGACAGTAATGCAAAAATATTTTATCCAGCACAAATATCTAAAGACTCTTAAATCAAGATACGTTTACTTGAGAAGCAAAACTGATTGAGCATAAACTGCATAAACATGCAAGATATTAATAATGCACAATGTTTGATTAAGAAAAATATAATTCATGTCTTCCAGTCATGGTCATTGATACTGGCTCGTCACCCAAAAGCATTTTACATTTAATTAATCATATTACTCATAATACAAATACACAACCTAAAATTATTTTTGCACCAAGTTACACAAATTGTAAGTCACATTGTGAAAAATATTGTTTTGCAATGTTGATTTAATTGTTATTTTATTATGTTTCTGCCAAAAAGGGCATTTTGTTTTTTTGTTTTATAAATGCATTTTTAAATTAATGTATACAATGTGTGAGTATTTTGTTTAATTATCCACTTGATTAAACTATAACAGTTAAGTTACTTGCAATAAAATATATTTATTTATTTAATTATTTTGCCAAGGCAACATTTCTATTCATGCACTAAAATATCTAAAACTAAAACTGAAATAATAATTAATAAATAACTATGTAGGCATAATTAAAAAAAATTTAAAATTTTAACTGAAATAAAACATATAAAAAAATGGATGCAAAATATTAATAAAATATATACTAGTATCTCAGTTATATTAAAATAAAACATAATATTCAATGCTGGTTTAAAATAAAATAAATAGTATTTAATGACAGAATAGAAATAGAAATTAAGAAATAAAATGGAATATTATTTGATGCTGTTTTAGAATAAATAAAATAGTATTGATTGAAATAGAATAAAAAATAAAATAAAATTTTATAAATAAAATAGAATATTTATTTGATGCTGTTTTAGAATAAATCAAATTGTTTTCAGTGAAATAGAATAAAATAACATGCAAATTATGAAATAATAGTATTTGATGTTGTTTTAGAAATAAATATATGTGTGTATGTGTGTGTGTGTGTATATATATATATATATATATATATATATATACTATATATGTATGTGTATTTATTTCTAAAAAAACATCAAATACTATTTTATTTCATAATTTGCATTTTACTTTATTCTATTTCACTGAATACAATTTGATTTTACTTGTGTGTGTATATATATATATATATATATATATATATAAATGAATAAAAGTTATTAAATAAAAAATTGAAGAAATTTTCAATACATTTATTTATTTAATTATTCGTCTAGAGAATGAAAACTGACGAAACATCATTGTGAAAATGAACAGTGGCCTAGTTTAACTTAACTGTCACCGTCCCACAGGTGGGACGTTTGCCACTATATTTTTAAAACAATAATATCTTAGTAAATACCTTAAATAATATTGACAAACTATATATCATTTGAAAGCTTACAATCTCTAGTTTTCATATTTGGTGACTGATTTTCAAAATATATTACAGAGGAGCCATAATTTATCAATATAAAACAAGAATATTTTCATACTCATAAGGCGTGTTCAGACCTTTATTTTAAAATAGCAGTAAACATGAAAAATCATGAAAAAATGGTAGATACCTCAGTTTGTTTTCATGCCAAAAGTTCAAAAGATAGAATCCATTCAATTATTTTGGAAAAAAAAAGGTCTGAAAAGTTTGAAATATCAAGAAAAAAATTATAAATTTACCATTTGTGACGTGGCAGCTAGCTATGACTTACATGCGTGTTCTTTGTATGTGTTTCTTAGAGGTTCAATTCATATCAAAATCTGCCAAACTTCCCATGCTACTTCTGAATAGGATCTCTACTTCAGAAATTGTATGAAAATTGTGAAAATAATGGTTCATATCACTCAAAACACGAATGGAAATGCAGACGCCCTTATATGGGCAGTAATGGAGTCTGATTGTGCCCTAGTGAAAAAGTTTGGTACTGCGCTCAAACAAAATCTTACTGAAAGCTCATTTTTTGAGATATCAACCTAAAATTTGAAACACAACTTGTTCAGATTTTTGGCTTTGATCTTTCTGCCATTTTAGAGTAGCCCAGGTTTTGAAAATATATATTTTATGTAAAATATGAATAATTAATATTTTTACATTGTACATTTCCATAAACTCAAACTTCTATAACTTTTTTTCTGTTTCACTTTCTTAATTTATTTCACTTCTACAAAAATCTGCCAAATGTCTTCTTTAAAACAAGACCAATCATATGTCTATATTCCAAAGCATTCTTGAATTACAACCATTTAAGTTCGAAATGTGCATTTTCATGTCTATTCAAAAAAGGGGGGGTGACAGTTAACAGGTTAAACCTTCATATTTTTGACATTTTCTGCAGTAAATGCACTTTAACAGCAGGCTGGTTGACATTGAACAGAAGGTTCTGATTGGGTTGTGTGTGTGTTGCGCCCTCTTGTGGACTGTTGATCTAAACATCTGCTCTGGTATTAACGTTTATTTGGAAATTAACCCCTTCCGCTTGAGTTTATTTCCAGCCGTTCTCCGTTTCAGAAACTCATGAGTGATCTGGAGCAGAAAGAAGTTCAACTGAACGTCCTGAAAACGAAGGTGGACAGTCAGATGAAGAACAAACACCCGGCGTCAGACAAGATCCAGGTGAGTTTGTGTGTGTGTGTGTGTGTGTGTGTGGTGTTCAACCCGTCCTGGGGTGTTTCTCACTCTGTTTTGGCGCTGTTCCTCAAGGCCTACATGGAGACGCTGCAGACCCAGTGGAGCTGGCTTTTACAGATCACCAAGTGCATCGGCGTCCACCTGAAGGAGAACGCACAGTACAGCCAGGTGGGACACACACATCTCACACACTCACACAAGTCTCGAAAAAAAAATATTTTTAATAATTTATTTAAAAAAATAATAATTTAAAAAATAATAATTTATTTAATTTATTTAAAAATATTTTTTTATTTAAAATTAAATGATTTTTATTTTATCAAATTTATTTTTATTTTATTTTATTTCTTTTTATTTTGTTTCTTTTGAAATAGTAAAAACGCTCAAATGGAAATTTAATGAAAAAAACTAGAAATAATTTATAGACATAAAAAGCTAATAAAAATGTCAAAATCAAAACACAACTAAACTAAAACGTTAAGAAAACATTACATTGAAACAAAATAAGTTTATTATTAATATTTTTAATTAGTTTTTCATTTTTATGTAATCTTGTTGCCAAAAACATTTATGTTACTTGAAATACATGTCGACTAAAATAAAATACTAAAATCCTAACTATAATAAAAAACTTTAAAAATATTTTATTTAAATATGAATTTATTTTAATTTAAAATTAAATTATTTTGATTTTATTCCTTTGTATTTAGTTTCTTTTGAAATAGTATAAACCATTAAAATGGAAACTTAATGAAAAAAACTTAATTTATAGACATAAAAAACTAATAAAAATATCAAAATCATAACAACTAAACTAAAACTTTAAGAAAATTACATTGAAACAGAAAATATGAAAATAAAAAACGAATTAAAAATATTAATAAAAAACATTCAACTTATTTTATTTAATCTTTTGCCAAGAAACATTTCTAAGTTTTATGTAGTGTAACTTTAATCTATAATCCAGTTGACAATGCACTTTAAACTTTAATTAATCCAGTTGCCAATGCAACTTTTTTTTGTTTAATTTTAAATACTAAAATAACTAAAACCAAAACTGAAATAAAAATGAATAAAAACTAAATAGACTAAAACAAAACCTAATAAAAATTAGAACACAACAAACCTAAAGGATATAACAAAATTACAATAAAATACATTTTAAATATTAGCATTTCAAATTTTTAAAATACTAAAATAACTAAAACCAAAAAAAAAAAATAGAATGACAGATTTAAAAAATAAAAAAATAAACCTAATAAAAATGAGAACACAACAAAACTAAAGCTATAACAAAAAATACAATAAAATAAATTAAAAATATGAACATTTTCTAATTTTTATTTAGTTTGACTTGTAATACTAAAATAACCAAAACTGAAATAAAACTAGATTGACAGATTTAAAAAAATTAAAATTAATAAATAAAAAATGAAAATCGCACAACAAAACTCAAGTTTTTAAAAAAAGTTATGAAATGGAAAATATTAAATTAAATTTTATTTGATTATAAACAGTAATAGTATGTACTGTTTAAGTTGAATTACTGAAATAAATGAACTTTTGCACAATATTCTAATTTTCCCAGTTTCACCTGTGTATATATATATATATATATATATATATATGAGACACAGTTTGCAGTGTTTGTTCTGCAGTATGAAGCTGTCAGTGTGTGTTCTGGTGTTTGATCAGGGCGTTGTGTAGATAATTTTATTTGATGATAAACAGTAATAGTATCTGAATGCTAAAAAGCGTGTTTTCTGCAGTTCTACAAGGAAACGTGTGAAATGAACGCCAAACTGATGAAAGAGCGCGACGGCCTCTGCAAGAACTTCTCCTGCGATAAAACCACAGCGCTTCACAAACTGCTGGATCTGCAACAGGGGCTGGAGGTGAGGACCACTTCGGGTGTGTGTGTGTGTGTGCTCCTGGAGCTCTGCAGGGTGCTGACCGCGTGTGTGTGTGTGTGTCTCAGAGAGAGAGAGAGCGCCTGACGGAGCAGAGAGCGATGGTGCAGCAGCTGGTGCTCAAATCCAAGAGCATCATCCGACTGAAGCCCAGAAACCCTGAGGAGAAGATCACGGGCCGGATCCTCGTGCAGGCGCTGTGCGACTTCAGACAGGACGAGGTGACCCTAAACACATCTATATATTACAATAAACGGATCGTTCACCCTAACATGACAACTCCCTCGTGTTGTTCAACCCGTCAGACTTTCCTTCATCTTCAGATATTTGGCTTCTATTGTAATTGAAACTTCCCGGAACAGAAAGTTATTAAAGACATCGTTAAAATAGCGCGAGTGACGACAGCGACTCAACCTTAAGATTATCAAGCGGCGAGAACACTTTCTGTGCGCAAAAAACACACAAAAATAACGACTTCATCTTCTTCTCTGTGGCCTCGAGTGAGTTCTCGTAGTGTAACGCTTCTGGTGTACGTCACACGCAGGCTCACGATTGGCCGACGCTGGTCATGTGTGTGATGCGCTGCGCTGCTACACTATAAGAACTCACTCGAGGCCACAGAGAAGAAGATGAAGAGACTCTTTTAAACCATAATTTGGGTTTCCGCGGGGTCTTAAAAAGTCTGAAATTCTGAACTTTAAATTTAAGGCCTTAAAAAGTCTTAAAAACGGCTAGATTTTCATCTGAGGTCTTAAATTTGACTTAGTCAGGTCTTAAAAAGATTTTACCCTCGTTCATTTGCCAAAACTCTGGCTGCAGAAAGTTATTACAAAGTAGTAAAAAAGTATTGAGTTTTAGCCTACAAAGCGGAGCTCTAGTGCAGGGGTTCAAACCGGTTCGAACACGCCGCTCGCGTGCTAGCATTAGCTCGTGGCTTAATACGAGGTAGCTCGCCAAGAGGCCGTTCATACACCAGGTTTGCGCGCTCAAGTTCATTCAAATATAGTCGCGACGCATCCACAGCGAGATTGAAAAAATTTCGTAAACGAACCGAAGAATCAACCAATCAGCTCCTTCCGTATCAACATTGGATCGCGGTGCACCCAAACACTACCGCTGTTTTTCTTTTCTCCGTGAATAAATCTTGTAGCAGAGCTAACGTTACAGCAAGCGTTTCTCGGTGGTGGAAATCCATTGGCTACTAAAATGTCTTTGTCGTTATGGAGAGCGCAGTGCATGGTTGCTTAGCAACGACAGACGCAACAGGAAAATCGGCCCAAATTTGACTATTTTTTGACTCGATCTTTTTATAAAAGATTATTTAAAGGCTGAAATACGTGAGGTTTATCTGTTTTGACTATTTTAACCTGTTGCAAGACACTCCTTTAAAATCTGGCCATCATTTTTAATGGTATTTTAATGTTTGTGTAAACAAAAAGTGCATATTCATGCTAATTTTATTTGCTGGGTTTAGACATACATTTGGCAACATTTGGATTTCATTGTAATCATGAAATGAAATGTTCATGCCATTTCATCTCTGGGTATGATCAACTAAAATCAACTATAATTGTGTTTTTACAGTATAAAATGCAAAGTGCAAATTTCACCTACACACACACACACACATATTATATGAAATCATTTTTTCCGAATATTTTCTTATTTCAATTTTTGGTAATGCGTTGTGTAGGTCTTAAATTTCAATGTTTATGGTCTTAAAATGTCTTAAAAAGGTCTTAAATTTGACTAATATTCCAAACTTTTTACATTTCTGTGTAAATTCTTCATTGGGGACAAGAAATAATCAAATCAAGTGTTGGTTTGGAGGGTTATGCGTGTGTCACAGTTATTGTGTGTGTGTGTGGCATCTGCAGAAGACGATCCGTAAGGGAGATGAAGGGATCCTGAAGGATAACTCGGAGAGAACCACATGGCTGGTGACGGGACCCGGAGGAATGGACATGCAGATTCCCTCTGTGTGTCTGTTAGTGCCGCCACCAAACCCACTGGCCATCAACCTGGCCAACAAGTACGACTCTCACACACACACACACATGATATAACCGTGTGTTGTGTAGATATGACCATGTGTGTGTGTGTGTTTGCCTGCAGGAACTCTCAGATTTATGAGGCCATTCTAACCGTGTGGAATCAGCTCTACATCAACGTCAAGAGTTTGATCTCCTGGCAGTACTGTCTCCTGGACATCAGCCGGGTCAACTCACTCACCATCAGCATGGTAACCGCACAGGAACACACACACACCCGGCATATATATATATATGGTGTATTCATACATTTAGATGCTGAGTAATAATAATGAACTACATGTACTCGTGGTTGCATGTAATTATACATAATTTATAGATATTTTTATTGGAGCAGGGACACTTAAGTATTTGTTACCTAAAAATAAAAAAATAATATGATTTGCTTAGCAAGGCCGTATTTATATGATCAAAAATACAGTCAAATTGTGAAATATTATTCTAATGTAAATCATCAGTTTTCTATGTGATTATATAGTAAAGTGTAATTTATTCCACTGATCAAAGCTGGATTTATCATCATTACTCCAGTCTACAGTGTCACATGACCCTTCAGAAATCACTCTAATATGAGGATCTGATGATCAAAACACAGTTATGATTATTATCAGTGTTGAAAACTGTGATACATTTTATTTTTCGGTATTTTCGCTGAATAGAGTTAAAAAATAACAGCAACCTTTTTGTAACATACAGTAACATTATAAATGTCCTTACTCTCACTTTTGATCAATTTAATACATCCTTGCTGAATAAAAGTGTTAATTTCTTTAAAAAAAAATATATGTATATAATAAACAAAAATACTAATGCGCATTTTATATGCTATATTTATATATATATATATGTATATACACAGTAGTAGAGCCCGACTGATAAAGGATTTTGAAGGCCGATACAAATATTTTTGGGTTTTAAAATCTGATATATCGGCCGATATTTTATTTATTTATTTGAAACTGGACATGATTGTCACAAATTTTCTCCTGCTTATTTGAGTTAAGAGAACTGATGGGGACGTTCTTTTAATTGTTTTTCAAGCAATGTATGTCTCGTGACCAACTCAACGAGTGTTGCCAACAGGGACGGTGTAGAGCGCCCTCTGGTGGACAAACTATACAACTCCAACACTCATGACATGGTTCAAGCGTGTTTCGTCCGTTTTTATTTTATTTTTGAAATATTCATTTATCGGCCATTATAACTGCCGATACCGATAGTTTGGATAATGCCTAATATCGGCCGATAATATCGGTCTGGCTCTACACAGTAGTCAACATTTGAAGTGGATCAAAAAAGTTCATCAAAGTAGTTTGACGGTTATTGTTCAAACTTCAGGTATAACTTTGAAAGGTTTTGATCCGCTTCATATATAGCTTTGATAACTTGGCATTAACCCAGGCTTGTGTTGGCTGGTGTGTGTGTGTAGCTGGCCAAGATGGGTCCGGAAGAGACCAACAACATCATCCGCAGTCTGGAGATGCACTTCCAGGAGTTCAAGAAGCACAGTCAGGGGTCCGAGCTGTTCGGGGCCGAGGACCATCAGCTCATCGAGAATCAGCTCTCCGGAGCCCAGCAGCACTACGGCAAACTCACGGTGGAGCTGCCCGCGTACGGTTAGTGTCACACACACTTCAGTCGTGTTCGCGGGTCCGTGTGAACGGGGATCGTGTTGACGGTGGTGTCGTCTGGACGCGGAAAACAGGAAAAATGTCTCACTTTAAGCACAGCGTTGTCATGTAAACGTGTGGACATGGCCTATAATGGTGTTGTGTGTGTGTCGCAGTCGCTGGTGGAGAAGGATCGGAGTTTTCTACGGCCGTGAGCGTCAGACTCCTGAACGAACTCAACGCTCTGAGATTCAACGTGGAGCGGGCCGAATCTTCCCTCGTCACTTTCCTGTACATCCCGTTAGGAGAGGACGGTCCGGAAGAGTGCAGTCGCCACATCGCCAGCACACAGGTGAGCATCACACACACACACACACACAGTTTATATACTCATTTTTATTAGCATTTCTTTTTTGTTATTTTATTTGTTAAACGTTTATTTAGGAATTTATTGCATCTCTTTTTTTTTATCTGATGTTCATCAAAGATTTTATTTTTGTATTTTTCATGTGAATTTTAGTTAGTCAGCTCGTTATGAATTAGCTTTTATTTTTATATTTTTAATGTTCATTTTAATTAGTCACTTTGTTATGAATTAGCTTTTATTTTTATATTTTTATGTTAATTTTAATTAGTCAATTTGTTATGAATTAGCTTTTATTTTTATATTTTTAATGTTCATTTTAATTAGTCACTTTGTTATGAATTAGCTTTTATTTTTATATTTTCATGTTAATTTTAATTAGTCAATTTGTGAAGAATTTGCTTTTATTTTTATATTTTCATTTTAATTAGTCAATTTGTTATGAATTAGCTTTTATTTTTATATTTTCATGTTAATTTTAATTAGTCAATTTGTTAAGAATTTGCTTTTATTTTTATATTTTCATGTTAATTTTAATTAGTCAATTCGTTATGAATTAGCTTTTATTTTTATATTTTTAATGTTCATTTTAGTTAGTCACTTTGTTATGAATTGGCTTTTATTTTTATATTTTCATGTTAATTTTAATTAGTCAATTCGTTAAGAATTTGCTTTTATTTTTATATTTTTCATGTTAATTTTAATTAGTCAATTCGTTAAGAATTAGCTTTTATTTTTATATTTTTCATGTTAACTTTAGTTAGTCACTTTATGAATTAGCTTTTATTTTTATATTTTTCATTTTAATTTTAGTTGGTCAATTCGTTATAAATTAGCATTTTATTTTTATATTTTTCATGTTCATTTTAATTAGTCAATTCATTATGAATTAGCTTTTATTTTTCATGTTTTTTTCAATTAATCAATTCGTAATGAATTAGCTTTTATTTTTATATTTTTCATGGTAATTTTAAATAGTCAATTCGTTAAGAATTTGCTTTTATTTTTATATTTTTCATGTTAAATTTAAATAGTAAATTCATTAAGAACTTGCTTTTATTTTTATATTTTCATGTTAATTTTAAATAGTCAATTCGTTATAAATAAGCTTTTATTTTTATATTTTTCATGATAATTTTAGTTAGTCAGATCGTTATGAATTAGCTTTTATTTTTATATTTTTCATGGTAATTTTAGTTAGTCTGCTCGTTATGAATTAGCTTTTATTTTTATATTTTTCATGGTAATTTTAGTTGGTCAATTTGTTAAGAATTTGCTTTTATTTTTATATTTTTCATGGTAATTTTAGTTAGTCAATTCGTTAAGAATTTGCTTTTATTTTTATATTTTTCATGCTATTTTTAGTAAGTCAATTCGTTATGAATGATTTTTTGAAAATATTTTTCATGTTAATTTTAGTTATAATTTTGTTATGTGCTTTTGACATAAAAAAACTGCTATTTATCTTTATTTTTAATTTTTAGTTAGTTAGTTTTTATTTATTTTCTGTTAGTAATTTTAGTGCTTTAACTCAAACTTATTTCAGTTAATTGCCAAGGCAATGTTTCTAATTTTCATTTTGTTTAAATTTTTACGACTAATATTTATATTTTATTTAAATTTATATTTTATAGGGGCAGGTTCAGGGTTAGCAGATATAACCCAGTTCTTGTAATTGCTATAAAAGTACGTACTGTAGTGTATACATGTGGAATAAAGTCCTGCTGAAATGCTTCAATAGTCTGGTTTGATCATGTGACCCTGATGCGAGGACGCTCTCAGACATGTGTTGGTGATGTCTGGTGTGTTCAGGTCTTTCAGAAGGACGTGCAGACTCTGAAGGGAGAGTTCGTGAGTCTGAGAGAAAGCGTTGAGGCTGAACTCAAAGACGCGAAGGACACCGATAAAGCCAGATACCTGCGGGGTCAGCTGGAGGTCATCAGCCAGAGTCTGGCTAACCTGGAGAACTACACCGCCGCACATCTACAGAGGTACACGTGCTCTTCCATCAGTTCATGCCTTTATTTCATGGAAAAGGGACAGTGCAGAGTTTTTTAAATGGTTGAAAGTGTGCATTTATTTGGCCAAAAATACAGTAAATCATAGCCGTCCTCACAGTTTTTGGCTGTTTCAGGTTGAGTTTGGTGAAGGCACTGCTGAAAGATCTGCTGAAGGCTGAAGACGTGGTGAAGGTTTATGAAGCTCGACTGATAGAGAAGGAGACGGTGTCTCTGGATCCGGAAGAGATCCAGAAATACCAGAAAGTGCTCCAGGTAATCATCCCTGAAGCTATTATGACCTTTATATGATCCCATACATCTCAAATGTGAGTTTTCTGATGGAGAACATGTTCTTGCATTCAAACTGTGAAATATTGTGCAACACCATGAAGAATTCAGGGATCTCAAGATTGATTTTAATGGCCAAAATTATAATTCTTAAATACATTTGTGTTGTTTTAGGGATCTTTCTGAAAACCTGCTAAAATAATTATTTCTGTGCACTGACAGCCCTTAAAGGGATAGTTCACCCAAAAATGAAAATTAGCCCATGATTTACTCACCTAGGTGTGTATGACATTTTCTTTCAGACGAATACAATCGGAGCTATATTAAATATCTGGCTCTTCCAAGAGTGATAATGGCAGCGAATGGTAAATGTGCATTTATCCATCATAAAAGTGCGTCTATACATGATAAAAGTGCATCTATCCATCATAAAAGTGCATCTATCATCATAAAAGTGCATCTATACATGTTAACGTGCGTCTATACATGAGAAAAGTGCATCTATTCATGATAAAAGTGCATCTATCATCATAAAAGTGCATCTGTCCATCATAAAAGTGCATCTGTCTATGATAAAAGTGCATCTATACATGATAAAGTGCGTCTATACATGATAAAAGTGCATCTATCATAATAAAAGTGCATCTATGATAAAAGTGCGTCTATACATGATAAAAGTGCATCTATCATCATAAAAGTGCATCTGTCCATGATAAAAGTGCATCTATCCATCATAAAAGTGCATATATACATGATAAAGTGCGTCTATCCATCATAAAAGTGCATCTATCATCATAAAAGTGCATCTATACATGTTAACGTGCGTCTATCCATCATAAAAGTGCATCTATCATCATAAAAGTGCATCTACACATGTTAACGTGCGTCTATACATGATAAAAGTGCATCTATACATGATAAAAGTGCATCTATCCATCATAAAAGTGCATCTATCATCATAAAAGTGCATCTATCATCATAAAAGTGCGTCTATCCATGATAAAAGTGCGTCTATCCATGATAAAAGTGCGTCTATCCATGATAAAAGTGCATCTATCATCATAAAAGTGCATCTATCCATCATAAAAGTGCGTCTATACATGATAAAAGTGCATCTGTCCATTACAAAAGTGTGTCTATCCATGATAAAAGTGCGTCTATCCATGATAAAAGTGCGTCTATCCATGATAAAAGTGCATCTGTCCATCATAAAAGTGCATCTATCCATGATAAAAGTGCATCTATCATCATAAAAGTGCATCTGTCCATCATAAAAGTGCATCTGTCTATGATAAAAGTGCATCTATACATGATAAAGTGCGTCTATACATGATAAAAGTGCATCTATCATTATAAAAGTGCATCTATGATAAAAGTGCGTCTATACATGATAAAAGTGCATCTATCATCATAAAAGTGCATCTGTCCATGATAAAAGTGCATCTATCCATCATAAAAGTGCATATATACATGATAAAGTGCGTCTATCCATCATAAAAGTGCATCTATCATCATAAAAGTGCATCTATACATGTTAACGTGCGTCTATCCATCATAAAAGTGCATCTATCATCATAAAAGTGCATCTACACATGTTAACGTGCGTCTATACATGATAAAAGTGCATCTATACATGATAAAAGTGCATCTATCCATCATAAAAGTGCATCTATCATCATAAAAGTGCATCTATCATCATAAAAGTGCGTCTATCCATGATAAAAGTGCGTCTATCCATGATAAAAGTGCATCTATCATCATAAAAGTGCATCTATCCATCATAAAAGTGCGTCTATACATGATAAAAGTGCATCTGTCCATTACAAAAGTGTGTCTATCCATGATAAAAGTGCGTCTATCCATGATAAAAGTGCGTCTATCCATGATAAAAGTGCATCTGTCCATCATAAAAGTGCATCTATCCATGATAAAAGTGCATCTATACATGATAAAAGTGCATCTATCCATCATAAAAGTGCATCTGTCCATCACAAAAGTGCATCTATACATGATAAAGTGCGTCTATCCATCATAAAAGTGCATCTATCATCATAAAAGTGCATCTATACATGTTAACGTGCGTCTATCCATCATAAAAGTGCATCTATCATCATAAAAGTGCATCTATACATGTTAACGTGCGTCTATACATGAGAAAAGTGCATCTATACATGATAAAAGTGCATCTATACATGATAAAAGTGCATCTATCATCATAAAAGTGCGTCTATCCATGATAAAAGTGCGTCTATCCATGATAAAAGTGCATCTATACATGATAAAAGTGCATCTATACATGATAAAAGTGCATCTGTCCATCATAAAAGTGCATCTATCATCATAAAAGTGCATCTATCCATGATAAAAGTGCATCTATACATGATAAAAGTGCATCTGTCCATCATAAAAGTGCATCTATCATCATAAAAGTGCATCTATCCATGATAAAAGTGCATCTATACATGATAAAAGTGCATCTGTCCATCATAAAAGTGCATCTATCATCATAAAAGTGCATCTATCCATGATAAAAGTGCATCTATACATGATAAAAGTGCATCTATCCATGATAAAAGTGCATCTATACATGATAAAAGTGCATCTGTCCATCATAAAAGTGCATCTATCATCATAAAAGTGCATCTATCCATGATAAAAGTGCATCTATACATGATAAAAGTGCATCTGTCCATCATAAAAGTGCATCTATCATCATAAAAGTGCATCTATCCATGATAAAAGTGCATCTATACATGATAAAAGTGCATCTGTCCATCATAAAAGTGCATCTGTCCATCACAAAAGTGCATCTATACATGATTAAGTGCATCTATACATGATACAAGTGCATCTATCATCATAAACGTGCATCTATCATCATAAAAGTGCGTCTATCCATGATAAAAGTGCATCTATCCATCATAAAAGTGAATCTATCATCATAAAAGTGCATCTATACATGATAAAAGTGCATCTATTATCATAAAAGTGCATCTATCATCATAAAAGTGCATCTATCCATGATAAAAGTGCGTCTATCCATCATAAAAGTGCATCTATCCATCATAAAAGTGCGTCTATCCATCATAAAAGTGCATCTGTCCATGATAAAAGTGCATCTATTCATGATAAAAGTGCATCTATCATCATAAAAGTGCATCTATCATCATAAAAGTGCATCTATCCATCATAAAAGTGCATCTATTCATCATAAAAGTGCATCTATCCATCATAAAAGTGCATCTATCCATCATAAAAGTGCATCTATCCATGATAAAAGTGCGTCTATCCATGATAAAAGTGCATCTATCATCATAAACGTGCATCTATCATCATAAAAGTGCGTCTATCCATGATAAAAGTGCATCTATCCATCATAAAAGTGAATCTATCATCATAAAAGTGCATCTATACATGATAAAAGTGCATCTATCATCATAAAAGTGCATCTATCCATGATAAAAGTGCGTCTATCCATCATAAAAGTGCGTCTATCCATGATAAAAGTGCATCTATCATCATAAAAGTGCATCTATCCATCATAAAAGTGCATCTATTCATGATAAAAGTGCATCTATTCATCAAAAAAGTGCATCTATTCATCATAAAAGTGCATCTATCATCATAAAAGTGCATCTATACATGATAAAAGTGCATATCATAATAAAAGTGCATCTATCAATGATAAAAGTGCATCTGTCCATTATATCCACATATAGTATCTGTCCCTTTAACTGTCCATAATGATCTATAACCAGCACTTCTTCTCCAAACGCAGAGCATGCACAGTGATTTGGAGCAGAAACATGATGTCCTGCATTCGCTGGTGTCTGATCTGAGTAAAGTGCAGCAGTGTAATGATCAGACGGATCAGGGCCGGTACAGGTGTGTCATCAACATCTCCCAGTACGCCGAGCACGTCAGCCAGCTGTCGGACCGATGGAAGCGCATCCTTCTACACATTACCAGCAGGTCAGATACGCTATCCATAACCCTTCTGCAACCTTTTTTGTCTTTTTCAATTTAGTTTTTTTTTTGAGGATCCCTATTCCACTCTACAGATAAAGCATTGTAGAAGTTTGAAAAAACAGAAGTGAATCAATCAAAACTAACTTTAGCTGGAACTTTTGATTTGACTTGATCTGAGTTAAAATGTTTTGCATTTCTATTGGAAGTTGACTATTTCACACCAATTTCCTTCCTTTTAATAAATCTATTTTGCCCTAGGTACACAAAATAGCTCCTCTCAGGACCTTAAGGACAAAAACGTCCCCATTAAAACTGCCAAGGGCCATTTAACTATAAAATGATGCAGTCTTTGTTAATAGGCTTTCAATCTGATGGCTTTAAAATGAAAAAAAAAAAAAAGTATTTTTTACCAGATGGTGCCATTTTCTCAGGTTTCACCTACAGTATTAAAGGGATAGTTCACTTTGAAATTAATTTTTGATATGTTTTAGCTTACCTCAAGGGCATCCAAGATGTAGGTGTCTTTGTTTCCACAGTATTTTCAATTTTGATATTTTTAGGTCAAACCGTTCTTGTCTGTCAGTCATATAATGGAGGTCTATGGTCACCACCTCAAAGAGCAGCACAGAGAAGTCCAGATTAAACATGCGACGCTGTGTTTTGTCAGGTATGATGACCTGGACTCGTTCCTCCCTCAGCTTCAGCGGTACCTACAGGACAGCTCTCGTCTCAGCGGCTGGATCGACGAAACCCAACGGCAGATCAACGCTCAGCAGTCCATCAAGACCGATGACATCACAGTGTACGACCAACTCGTCAACCAACAGAAAGTGAGCTTGGAACCATGTTCTTGAGTAGACCAATTAACCCATCACCCAAAGAAAGTCATTTCAACCAGTGTTATATTACTATCATTGAGATACTATTAGTATTCAGAGTTAGTTTTAGTCATTTTGTGATGCACTCATCGATTTCCGGCCCAAAAGCTCTTTAAAACCATGAGAAGAAGAGGAAAAAAACCCGCTCAAACATTTGAATTTTATTGCCATGTTAACTGAGGTTTATAAGGGACATTTTTATCTTCGTAAAACAAAATAATAGAAATGAATTGATTTCCTGGGGGGAGCAATGCAACAGGACAACAGATCATGGCAAATACATGCAAAGAAAATAAAAAATATGTTTTTTTAAAAGCAAGAGATTTGCATGAATGGATAAATAGGTGGACGGACGGATGTTGAAGGCATTGCAGGATATCAGAAAAACATGTTGATATTCTGGAACATCATATTAGAATATGATCATGTGACACTGAAGACTGGAGTAATGATGCTGAAAATCCAGCTCTGATCACTGATTATAAATGACACTTTACTATATATTCACATAGAAAACTGATGGTTTACACTGGAAAAATATGTCGCTGTTTTTAATCAAATAAATGCAGCCTTGATGAGCAGAAGAGACTCTTTCAGTAACCTCATGATCCTAAACTTTTTTTTTTTTTGTATTTCAGTTTTAGTTATTTTAATACATCAAGTTAAATTAAATAAAAGTGAGTAATGTTGCTTTGGTAATTAGCTGAATTAAAATAAATGTAAGTGTTTTCATTTCAAGGGTTTAGTTAACTATGATATCCCTGATTTCAACAGAATCCACAGTGTCATATTCATCGAGTCGACTTGTTTGATTTAATTAAACATTTCAAAGGCTTCATTTAACATTTGTGCTCTTTTATAATGTGTGCAGGCTTTAAACGCCGATATAAAGGCGAAGAGAGAGCTGTTGGAGACGGTGCAGAATAATGGCGACGCCTGCATAAATGCCATCAAGGTATACAAAACTAATGATGATGTTTCGTAATTATAACAATTTTCTTTTGTCTCTGAAATTGCTTCATCTTGCCTATTGTTTACCAGTTAACAATAATTTTGTTTACACTTTACATTAGTACTTTTATCATTTCAACATTTGCAAATTAAAATAAAAATTTAATACTCACATGCATGTATATATTTAAGAAAATGTGTTATTCATATATAAAATATTTATATATATATATATATATATATATATATATATATATATATATATATATATATACAGTATTTATGTGCAAATAATTCTAAAATAAATACATGCATGCAATTGTATTTATATATGCAAAATAATTATACACAGCACACACACATATATCATGTAGTCACAAACTTTTATTTTGGATGCGATTAATCGCGATTAACCTTTGCACAGCCCTATTAATTACATTAGTTAACATCAACTAACAATCAACAATACTACTTATTTTTTAAACAGTATTTTTTAATCTTAGTTAAAACTAAATTTAACAATTAAAATCAAAATTTAATACACTCACTTGCATGTATATATTTAAGAAAATGTGTTATTCATATATAAAATATTTATATATAATATAGATTATGTATTTATATATATATATATATATATATATATATATAGTATTTATGTGCAAATCATTCTAAAATATATACATGCATGCAATTGTATTTATATATGCAAAATAATTATACACAGCACACACACATATATCATGTAGTCACAAACTTTTATTTTGGATGCGATTAATCGCGATTAACCTTTGCACAGCCCTATTAATTACATTAGTTAACATCAACTAACAATCAACAATACTTATTTTTTAAACAGTATTTTTTAATCTTAGTTAAAACTAAATTTAACATTTACTAATACGTTATTAAAATCAAAGGTTGTATTTGTTAACATTAGTTAATACACAATGTGAACTAACATGAACAGCTGTGTTTTTACTAACATTAACAAAGTAAATAAATAAATACTTTAACAAATGAGCTGCTCATTTTTAGTTTATGTTAGTTCATACATTCACTAATGTTAACTAATGAACTTTATTGTAAAGTGTTACCAATAAAATACCTCAAGTTTTCAGCCCTACTCTTGTCAGTAGTTAAGCACAGTAATTTAATTCATAATTAATTGTGTCTCTGTGTAGAACTATGAGCTTGAATTGGCCTCTTACGGTGCTGGACTGGAAACCATGCTCAACATCCCCATCAAGAGGACTGTCCTTAATTCCCCATCTAAAGTCATTACAGAAGAGGTACACACACTTTCCCAGCCAACAAAAACAGTCATTTTATTGCAATATTGTCTTATTATAATACCATATTTTGTATTATCTTCGTCCCCTAGGTCTCTTCTCTAAATGCACACTACTTAGAATTGCTCACCCGCTCAAGTGATCACCACAAACTCCTTACGGCTGCCCAGAAGAACATGCAAGACCTGAACGTATGTCACATCCGCAACACACTCTCCAACACTAACCCTAGGGACGCACGATTCATGCAAACACACTCACAAAACCCATCTCTGTGCATCTTCTCAAATTGCAATGAGACAACTGTGGTTTTCCACCAAAATAAAAGCTCCATGGTTTAACATTTGAAAATGAAGAAATTATGACAGCTGTAAATTTTAAAGTTATACTGTAAAATACAATGGCATGTTAAAAAAAAAATATGTATCTTAAAAATATTTATGTTAGAGTACGATAGTAATATTTCTAGAATATTTAAAAAGAAATATTTGTAGTATATCGATTTGACGGAACTAATAAAAACTTTAGATATAATAAATTGAGATATACTAGAAATATTATTATTGCTAATATTACTACTATTGCTAGATGCTATTAATCATGATAAATTGATTTGACAGCACATTACATTAAACATTAATTGATTCAAAAGTTTTAATTATGTTTTGAATAGTGTTTTTTTATTTTAAAGTGAAATAAATAATATAGATATAAGATATATTGATATATAATAATAATATATAAAAACATTTTAAAAATTAATAACTTGTAATATTTTGCTGTAAAATAAAAAACTATTTTTTTATTTTAAAGTGAAATAAATAATATAGATATAAGATGTATTGTTTTTATTATTATTATATAATATAATATATAAAACATTTGTAATATTTTGTTGTAAAATAAAAAACGAAGTATTTGAGAAATAATAATAAATAAATAAAAACATTAAACAAAAACAGTTAATATTACTATACAATAGTAATATTTATAATTTATTTTTTTATTTATTATATAATAAATAATATAAATATGTATTATTATTTTCTAGTCATTAATATATATTTAACTTTTTTTTTTTTGCCAAATTGTGCTGTCAATATCCATTTTTATTAGAAAATTGCAATAGGATTTTTAGTAACACTTTATTTCCATAGTCTACTTTAGACATTTTACTAGGCAAGTTTATTTATATAGCACTTTTCATACACAGTGGCAATTCAAAGTGCTTTACATGGAAGAAATTAAAATAATCAAAAGAAGTCAGAATAATTAAAACAGTTTAGAATAAAAAAAAATCATAATAGTAAAAATAAAATACAGTGTCGAAAATAAAATGTATAGTACAGTTGGACGAACAGTGGCAAAGTGCTCATTCAGTAAATGCAATCAATATAAATAAAAACAGTTAAGAGTAAAAATAAAATAAAATAATACCCCTAACTAACTATAAGTAACTTTGTAACTAATGGTCATTAGAGTATTAGTAGAGTATTAGTTTTTATAATCCCCAACAGATATTCTACTGACTATAAGTAACTTTGCAAGTTCACGTCAACTTACTCTACTAACCCGAACCCTGACCTAACAGTCTACTAATTCTCTAATGAGAGTTAGTTGATGTAGTTGGAAAGTTACTTATAAAAAGTTGACTATGAGGGAAAAAAAAATGTTTTTCCTCGGATCGCGTTGCCTTAACGAACACTAAATCTGCTTCGGTGAACACACAAATTCTTTAATAGTTTTACGAGTCAAGTCAACAGACATTTTGATCAAATGTGTAATGTTTTATGCGTTTCTCTGCAGATGATGAATACCGAAATTGGGATGCGCAATGAGGAAATTCAGCAGTTGAAAGACGTCATTTTGAATCACACTGCCATGAATGCCTCTCTGCAGGAGGCTCTCCTTAAATACAAGCAGGAGCTGGATGAATCCCAGAGACACCTGCTTTCTCTGGAAGAGGTAAAGAGGAATGAGACTTGGAAGTGTATGACCACACAGGACAGCCTCGACTCTTCTACAAACCGTCTTCAAGAGCTTACGGAAGAAGTACGTCGTCTCAAACAACAGTTGGAAGATATGGAGAGGAAAAAGAAAGTCGTGGAGGAGCGTTATACGTTTTTGCAGGAAGAATACGATCAAACCATGCGCAAGAAAGTCAAAGAGCTCGAGACGGCCAACTGGACCATGAAGGATCTGGAGAAGACGGTGTCTGAAAGGACCCGAGAGCTGGAGCGTCTGCGCAAGGAGTTGGATGACGAGGCTCGGCGCTTCAAGGAGGCGCAGACGGAGCTGGCAAAGGTAAGGCAGGAGCACAGCATACAGATACGAGAGGTGAAACAGACCTACGAGTCTCAAATCCACGTCACTCAGACCAGCATGCAAAAGCTTTCGCAGCAGAAGGAAAGTGATTTTGCCTCCATGCAGCTGGAGTTTGAAAGAGTAGAGGGAGAATCTAGAGAGTTGAAGGAGCAACTGCAAACGCTTCGTCTTTCCCTCAACCAAGAGGAGGTCGAAAGGAGACGCTTGGAAGAGGAGATACAGAGACTCAGTGCTTCGAATGCAGAGGAAAGCCGAAAGAGGCACGAGCTGGAAGCACAAGTCCAGTTGATGCTTAGTCAGAAACGTGAAGCTGACAACAAAGCAAGGGAGGTACAAGAGAGCTCAAGTCGGACAGTGCAGGAGAAAAGTGTCGAGATCGTCCGCCTCACACGGTGTCTTGAGGAGGACCAGCGTCTCAAAAGATCTTTAGAGACTGGAACAAGGCGGCTAGAAGGGGAGTTGGCCGACCTCAGATCTAAGAACGAAGCCTTGAACGGGGAGTTGTTGCAGCTTCGCTCCTCCGACAGTCAATTGAGCCTGATCCGGGTTGAGTTGGAGGCCCATGCCCTTGAGAAGGGACGGAGTGAACAAACTATCGTACGCCTGCAAACGCGCATCCAAGAGCTCCAGGAGGAGCTGAAACGCCTGGAAAGCGAGTTGGATAAACAGCGGAGAGTGGCGGAAGAGGAGGCCGGCAAGCGAAGGAGAACGGAGGCGCAACTCGAAAAGAGTAGCCAGGCCATGCGGGAGTACACCACGACAATCACCACCCTGCGAAAGAGCCAGGAAGAAATCAGTCTCGAGGCAAAACACACGGACAGCGAATGCAAGCAGTTGCAGGAGGCCTTAGACCGTGCCTTGAAGGAGAACAAAGCTTCGTCTCAGAGCTTGGCTGCCTTGAAAGCCGAAATGAACACTTTGAAACTACAGCTCACGCAGGAGCAGGGGCGCGTCCAAGACTTCAGCAAGCGCTACGAGACCCTTCACCGTAGCATGGAAGAAAAGACTTGCGCATTGAACATGGCCACTGCGGAAACCGAGCGCCTGCAGAGGCTCACCGAAACCCTTACTAAAGATCGGCTCCGCTTGGACGAGGAGTTGCGCTCCGTGCGTCTAGAACACGAGGAGCTGCTCAAAGACAAAAACCGCGGGAATCGGGAAATGGCCGAGCATGTCGCAGCTTTGCAGAAACAGCTCGAGTCCAGCCAGCGTGCCGGTGCAGAGCATGACAGGCTTATGCGACAGCTCTCCAGAGAGAGAGAAAAACTGCAACTGGAGATAGAAAATGTACAAAAACAAGCCAGAGAGGTACTAGGATAAATAGAAACTAGAGTTCTCGAGTTTTATCCTTAAAACCTGTAGATTTAGATAGTGGCTGGCTGCATGCATCTCTCTCGCTTTCTCTCTCTCTCACTTCTCATTATGCAAATGGTTAGTCTTGACATGCAAAATATGGCCCACTGAGATCATGCACCATTTTTGCATGTTTTAATGTGCATGTTTGACCTATCTCCGCAGAATAATCAGATTTGCATCTTAATTACCTTACAAGCTTCCATGCTGCACGCTTTTTTGCATTATGAGCAACAGCATCCAATCAGATACTTTCACATTCAGATGACACTTCCCATTCCAACTCCAAACCACATCTGAGATGCATCACTTTAGCCTCTATCGTGATTTTGATCCTTTAGAACAGGGATGCCAAACCTTGGTCCTGGTGGACTACTGTCGTGCAACTCCAATCCTAATCAAAAACACCTAAGCCAGCTAATCAAGGTATTCAGAATAGCTTGAAAATAACAGGTAGGTGTGTTGGAGCGTAAGGATGCCCTCCAGGAGCAGGTTTGGCTATCCCTTCTTTAGAAGCTGAGCAATGTACTTAGCTTGAAAACCAATCAGTTCTGTTTTTTAATTGACAATGAATGTTACAAATCTGTCATATCTGAAAAATTATACACAGTAGTCAACATCTGAAGTGGATCAACAATACCCGTTCTTGTCTTAGGACAACTTTTTTGATCCACTTCAAATGTTGACTACTGCATTTTAAATGATAGAAGACTAATTTTAATGTTTATGTTTATTGTTGCAGACTTCCTCCGTGATCCAGACGTCCCAATCCCAGTGCAGCCATCTGCAGCAAGAGCGAGATGGTCTCCTCGAGAAAACGACGGCAATGGAACAGGAAATTACGCGCTTGAAAAAACTCGAGGACGAGCTGGAACGAATCAAACTCTCACTGGAGTCTGAAATACGTCTCAAATCACAGATGCAGGAGGATAACGAGAGGATCAAGAAGGATTTTACCCAGTGGAAGAGCAAATGTGCGATTCACGAGGAACAACTTCGACAGCACATCTCGGAGCGTTCTGGCTTGGAGGGACAATTTAACTCGGTCAACACCGAGATGGAGAGGTTGAGGACTCATCTGAAGGAAGCGGAAGAACGTTACAGGCTGTTGTTGCAGAACTTGGAACAAGAAAGGGCACAGATGCAGGCGCTTCGAGACTCACAGCAGAAGGAGTTGCAGAAACTGCGGGAGAAATCAGAAGGTGCTGCCAAATACACTCAGACAGACCAAACCGACGACTCATCGCTGGTCTTCGAAGGCGTCCGCAAGAAGGTCACGGCACAACAACTGCGTGACTGCGGTGTGATTGACAAGGTGACCTTTGAGCAATTGATAAACGGGCAGCGGACTGTTCAGGATGTATCTGTTGACATCAGGCTCAATCTTAAAGGCACAGGAGCCATTGCCGGGCTGGAAACAGGACCTAAAGGCAAGATGACCTTCACAGAGGCCAAGAAACAAAAGTTGATATCAGATGAGAGTGGAAACATGCTCCTGGAGGCGCAAGCTGCCACAGGGTACATCATAGATCCCCGAGCTAATGTGAAGATGACGGTTGAGGAGGCTTGTCTGAATGGACTTGTGGATGAAGCTGACAAGAACCAGCTGTTGATTGCAGAGGCCGCCTGTGTTGGGTTCAGGGATCCCAAAACTGCGAAACTCCTGCCTGCTAGCCAAGCCATGAAAAAAGGACTAATCGACCGGGAAACAGCTCTGCGTCTCCTGCAAGCTCAAGAGGCGGCGGGAGGCATCCTTGATCCTATCCTTAGCGTCTACCTCTCCAAAGATACTGCCATGGACCGTGACCTTGTTGATGAGGATCTTTATCAAGCTCTAAATGCCAGACCAGATTGCTACATTGATCCAGACACTGATCTACATGCTAGCTATGTTACCCTCAAGAAGCGATGCAAGGCTGACCTTAACACTGGCTTGCTCCTGCTTCCAGCTCCCGAGAAACCCTTGACTGTACCGGGACTGCGTAGCGAAGTTAACGTATCGAATCTGGTGGATGCAAAATTGCTGGAACCTTCGGACGTGGATCAGTTGAGAGAGGGCAAGATTACCATCCAAGACATTGAACACAGGCTTCGGGCTTATCTCAGGGGGTCAACTTGCATTGCTGGGATTTATGACGAGGCCAACGACTGCACCTTGCCTATCTACCAGGCCATGAAGAATGGGCTTCTGCGACCTGGCACTACCTTGGAGCTTCTGGAGGCCCAGGCCGCCTCAGGCTTCATGATTGATCCCATTCACAATGAGTACTATACAGTCGAGGAGGCCTGTAAGAAAGGACTGGTGGGTGTGGAGTTCAAAGACAAGCTTCTGTCTGCCGAGAGAGCAGTAACTGGGTACAAAGACCCAGCCACCGAGAAGATGATTTCCCTGTTTGAAGCTATTGAACGTGGTCTCATAGAGAAAGGGCACGGCATTCGCCTGCTGGAGGCTCAGATTGCTAGTGGTGGCATAATTGACCCTAAACACAGTCACCGACTTGATGTTGATGTGGCGTACCAAAAAGGCTACTTTGATGAGGAGATGAACCAGATTCTTAAAGACGAAGGAGATGACACAAAGGGTTTCTTCGACCCAAACACTGAGGACAATTTGACCTACTTGCAGCTGAAGAGCCGCTGCATCGCAGACAAGAAGACGGGACTGGTGCTTCTGCCTCTTTATGATAAGAAAAAGATCCAGCAGAAGAACTCCTCGAGGAAGAGACGGGTACTGATAGTTGATCCGGAAAGTAATAAAGAAATGACGGTGCGTGAAGCCTACGAGAAGAAACTCATAGACTACGAGACCTTTCTGGAATTGTGTCAGCAAGAGTGCGAGTGGGAAGAAACCGTAATTACCGCCGCTGATGGCTCGACCAGTACAGCTATAATGGACATGCAAACAGGCATTCAGTACGACTTGCAAGAACTGCTAGCTAAGGGAGTGATTAGCCAAGATGTCCTTGATAAATATCGTTCAGGAATCGTCACCCTTACTGAGTTTGCAGATATGATCACCCAAAAGACAAAGACCCTCAGCAAACCCCTTAGCTCATCTGTCATCTCCTCCTCATCATCATCATCATCTCAGATGACCATGAAAAGTCAGACAATCAAAACCGAAACTGTTAAAAAAGTCGAGAGTACCTCCACTGCCCAAGATCCATTCTCAACAAACTCCTCCAAGCATATTTCCAGCATGTCAGTCAAACTGACCCCATTAGTAGAAATAATTGAGGAACAGAGTCCAGTTGGGGCAATTTTTGACACAGAGAAGCTGGAGAAGATCAGTGTGTGTGACGCTATGAAGCGAGGAATCATCGATTCCATCACAGGGCAACGGCTCCTGGAGGCACAAGCTTGCACCGGTGGGATTGTGAACCCTGAAACCGGTCGCCGTATGTCTATTCAGGAAGCGACCCGCGTCGGTGTCCTCGATGAGGACATGGCTAACCGGGTAAAACCTGCCCAGAAAGCATATATTGGTTTTGAAGATGTGAAAACCAAGCGTAAAATGTCCGCCGCCGAGGCCGTCAAAGAAAAGTGGCTTCCGTACGAGGCTGGCCAGCGCTTCCTTGAATTCCAGTATTTAACCGGCGGGCTTTTCGACCCAGAGCTCGGGAGCAGACGTTCACTTGAGGAGGCTTTGCAATTAGGCTGGCTGGACATGAGATCGGCTCAGAGGCTCCAGGATTCACGTCACCACCCAAAAACCCTAACCTGCCCCAAGACCAAGCTGCGGATATCCTACAAGGAGGCTCTGGAAGCTTGCATGAACGAGGAGAAGACGGATGTCCGAATGCTTCCCGCCGCCACGGTTTCATCGCGAGGAATCAGCAGCCCCTACAACCTCTCCAATCCAGGATCTGCCTCGGGATCTCGGAGTGGATCCCGTAGGGGCAGCGTTGATTACAGTTTATCCCCTTCTTCCTCGACCAAATACAGCAGTTTTAGCTACAGTAGAACCTCTTTCAGCTCCAGATCACTCTCCTAAACAAACGTTTTGTACCGTGCAACATTATACAACATCAACAACTATCCATCAAAGTATTTTAAGATAACGGCACGAGATTATTAGTATCGATAATCATCTAAACGAATCAGCATTTTTTTGACCACCTTGTGTACATGTTTGGAAAATAATTGCATTTCTTAATCTACATTGAATGTATTAATTTGGACACATTTAATTTAGCATGTTTTCTTATATTATGGGGGTTATCTGCTTCTGAGTTTTATTAAACGGATATGAAAATTGTTTATAACACTAGATTGGTAAAGATGTTTTGTTTTTGTTTTTAAACTAATACTGTTGAATGGCTGTATTTTTTTTTTTCTAAAAGTTTCAGTGCCTTCACTTTACCTTTGTACTACCCTGAGTTACTCAGTGACTGTAATAACTTCAGCTTCATTGCTTAAATAAAGAAAGAACTCATAAAATGTATGATTTGTATGAATAATTATTAGCTGGGTGCAAATTTATATGAGATTTTATGTTTAGGAGTTAAAGCAGAATATTTCCATGCCCAACAAAATCTAATCCAGGCCTGGCATCACGTTTCTTCCAAATGTTTAAATTGAAAATGAAAACATATAATTCCATTAAATTTGATTAGTGGTTACAATCAAACAAAGATCTATGTATATATTTGCTCTTTAAAGATTTTCTAATTGTCCCGAAACTATCCAGTAAATGCCAACCAGAATATACATGCTTAATGACAGAAATAGTTATGCTGATATTTATGGCAGAACTGTCCTTATAACAGTCTTATAAGTTCAACTCAACTTTGTAGTTCAAGTCTACAGATGAAGAGCGGATAATACAGTAGGGATCCTGTTCTGAAGATGTGAAGGTATGAACAATAATATAATATATATTATTTTTATTTTACTTTCAGCATTAAAAATGAAAGTATATAAACCTATACACACACATACGCGCACGTTCTCTCTCTCTCACACACACACAGACACATGCACACTCTCACGCACACAGACTCATGCAAACATACATTTGTTTTATAAGCATGATATAAGTAGCCTATATACTGTATACCATAACTGAAAACACAACGTGTGTGTATGTTTTCCGTTCACATGGACTCTTGTTTCCCTTGATTCTGATTATGGTTTGTTGTATTTTAATTAATTGCTGCATCTAGATCCTTGTTTCCTCTTGCTACCCTGAATACCTCGGGTACATTTATATTGTATGCGCAGTGTGTATTGAATTTATATTTTTTGTAACTGCTACTCATGTTTGGTGATATAGAACTTTCATTTCCAAAGAAATGAAAGGAAAAGTGTCATTCCTTTGCAGTGAATTAATCTAAACTACATTCAGAATATGTCTGGTATTAATAGAGAGCTTGGAGGCATTTTCGCAGAGTTACAGGTGTAACTTCTTAGAATCAATGTGTGTTTAACTTTCATTTTACAGGAAAAAGAGTAAACGGTTGACCTTAAGTTGAATAATTTCCAAAGTGTAGAAACAGAAATACGTTAAATATGTTTTTCTAATTAAGAAAATTAGTCTTAAAAAAGCATAATATGATCTGGATACGGCCCAGATCCGGCTGACTACATCATGTGTTGTGGTAGTGTCTAGGTGCAGGTCCACCATCTGATCAGGATACGGCCCAGATCCGGCTGACTACATCATGCGTTGCGGTAGTGTCTAGGTGCAGGTCCACCATCTGATCTGGATGTGGCTCAGATCCGGCTGACTACATCATGCGTTGCGGTAGTGTCTAGGTGCAGGTCCACCATCTGATCTGGATGTGGCTCAGATCCGGCTGACTACATCATGTGTTGTGGTAGTGTCTTGGTGCAGGTCCACCATCTGATCTGGATACGGCCCAGATCTGTCTGACTACATCATGTGTTGTGGTAGTGTCTTGGTGCAGGTCCACCATCTGATCTGGATATGGCTCAGATCCGGCTGACTACATCATGTGTTGTGGTAGTGTCTTGGTGCAGGTCCACCATCTGATCTGGATGTGGCTCAGATCCGGCTGACTACATCATGCGTTGCGGTAGTGTCTAGGTGCAGGTCCACCATCTGATCTGGATACGGCCCAGATCTGTCTGACTACATCATGTGTTGCGGTAGTGTCTAGGTGCAGGTCCACCATCTGATCTGGATATGGCTCAGATCCGGCTGACTACATCATGCGTTGCGGTAGTGTCTAGGTGCAGGTCCACCATCTGATCTGGATATGGCTCAGATCCGGCTGACTACATCATGCGTTGCGGTAGTGTCTAGGTGCAGGTCCACCATCTGATCTGGATACGGCCCAGATCTGTCTGACTACATCATGTGTTGCGGTAGTGTCTAGGTGCAGGTCCACCATCTGATCTGGATATGGCTCAGATCCGGCTGACTACATCATGCGTTGCGGTAGTGTCTAGGTGCAGGTCCACCATCTGATCTGGATATGGCTCAGATCCGGCTGACTACATCATGTGTTGTGGTAGTGTCTAGGTGCAGGTCCACCATCTGATCTGGATGTGGCTCAGATCCGGCTGACTACATCATGCGTTGCGGTAGTGTCTAGGTGCAGGTCCACCATCTGATCTGGATACGGCCCAGATCTGTCTGACTACATCATGTGTTGCGGTAGTGTCTAGGTGCAGGTCCACCATCTGATCTGGATATGGCTCAGATCCGGCTGACTACATCATGCGTTGCGGTAGTGTCTAGGTGCAGGTCCACCATCTGATCTGGATACGGCCCAGATCTGTCTGACTACATCATGTGTTGCGGTAGTGTCTAGGTGCAGGTCCACCATCTGATCTGGATATGGCCCAGATCCGGCTGACTACATCATGCGTTGCGGTAGTGTCTAGGTGCAGGTCCACCATCTGATCTGGATATGGCTCAGATCCGGCTGACTACATCATGCGTTGCGGTAGTGTCTAGGTGCAGGTCCACCATCTGATCTGGATACGGCCCAGATCTGTCTGACTACATCATGTGTTGCGGTAGTGTCTAGGTGCAGGTCCACCATCTGATCTGGATATGGCTCAGATCCGGCTGACTACATCATGCGTTGCGGTAGTGTCTAGGTGCAGGTCCACCATCTGATCTGGATATGGCTCAGATCCGGCTGACTACATCATGTGTTGTGGTAGTGTCTAGGTGCAGGTCCACCATCTGATCTGGATACGGCCCAGATCCGGCTGACTACATCATGCATTGCGGTAGTGTCTAGGTGCAGGTCCAACATCTGATCTGGATACGGCCCGGATCCGGCTGACTACATCATGTGTTGTGGTAGTGTCTAGGTGCACGTCCACCATCTGATCTGGATATGGCTCAGATCCGGCTGACTACATCATGTGTTGCGGTAGTGTCTAGGTGCAGGTCCACCATCTGATCTGGATACGGCCCAGATCTGTCTGACTACATCATGTGTTGCGGTAGTGTCTAGGTGCAGGTCCACCATCTGATCTGGATACGGCCCAGATCCGGCTGACTACATCATGTGTTGTGGTAATGTCTAGGTGCAGGTCCACCATCTGATCTGGATACGGCCCAGATCCGGCTGACTACATCATGTGTTGTGGTAGTGTCTAGGTGCAGGTCCACCATCTGATCTGGATCCTCCGCACACGGCAAAGTTTGCTCTTTTCCCAGTTGACCCGAAGAGATGGGATGTCAGTTCTTTGGAGAAGAGGTTTTCCCCCGGCCCTCCACCAGGGGAAGGAGTGGCCCGGCAACCACTTCCTGAAAGAACTGCAACCCACCTCTGAGCTGCCCGTAACAGAGCGCCGCATCGCCTGGCGTTCAGGCGTAACTCGAAATGAAAGGGAACTAAGATAATCCAATACACCAAAACTTAACGAAATACATGCTAAACAAACAATACTGGACAATCATTAGAGTGAAAGATACAGGCTACACGTGATAACGAACTACGCTAATTAGTCATATAATGAATAACCATAGAAACAAATGACAAACGGGAACATAATAACCCTGTTATGACACACTCATTGTGTCCTAACTTTCACTATCAGAGAAATGAAATACGTTTGCTTTATGGAAATCCTCCCCAACCCTTTTCCTGTAAATATAATTATATGCTTTGACCAGACAATATCTTCTGTACACAATACACAAAAATGCAGCCTGCCAGGTAAATCTACATTTTTGTGCATCATAAAATGAAACAAAAATTAATGACACAAAGGGGGTGGGATTTTACACCCATTTCTTGGTAAATAAAAGGTGTGCTGCCTCATTATTGAGTACGGCACAGCATCCGACCGTTAAAGGTAATGTAAGACAATTCATGCATTTCACTGTCTAATACAAATGCATTTATTATTTAACTAGTGTTTCAAATACATTAATAGGTCATATATTTTTAAATTTTAAATAAAATGTACATTTTTTAACGTTTTTGTCATTATAGCTATAATTTTATTGTTACTCATGTTGTGAAGCACATACTTGGAAAGTTGGTCAGGGAATATTGCAATGAGGCAGGAGACAGTCTTGGCTTATAATAGAAATGAAAAAAGCTTGGTTTCGGTTTTGAAAAAGGTGTCTGCTGATGAATCATTCTGATTATACCACCATTATATCCTATACTTGAGAATTGTACTACTCTAGATTGTTATTAATACATAAAACAAAAACAAAAAATAGAGCTCATTTGTGGAACCTAAAAACCTTATCTAAGACCATGTCAAAGTGATTTTACTCCATTTCTGGTTGTTTTGTTCTCCTTCAGCCATTATGTCTTTATTCTGCTAGGTATCTTGATCTCCTTCTCCGTGGCACTGGAATAAGGACTCAATACCAATTTGAAACACTCCTCACACAAATATCCCCATTCTAATTGGACAGAAAAGCATAAATAAAAGTGATAATGTACACCATTCCTTCATTCGAACCCAGCTCTGAAAAGAGGGATGCAACCGCAATTCCAACTAACCTCAGAGATTCACTATCATGCCTCGACGTTGTGTGGTCCGATATGTTTGAGACTGGAGACTCAGCGATTGACTTCATGAAGCTTGAGACTGATTTTCTTAAAGGAGCGCCTCCACAGTGGCTGAGCTTCAGCACACCAGAGAGCTCACCGTTTGTGGAAAGGGATTGCTTTACAGATTTAATTCAGTTAATTGAGAGGAAGAAAAGGAAAAGGTGTCTGATCTCGGAAGTTTCTTTACCGTACCAGCCTGGCAGTGGAGGCTCAACCCTCGCCATGCAAGTGCTTTGGCATTTCCACAAAGACCTCAGATGTGCCAAAGTCATCCAGTCAGATTTAGACGATAAAAAGCTGCCGAAACAAGTGGTGGACCTTTTTCTCCTGTCTAATGAACAACATGCAAAACACGATCAGAAAACCGTGCTGCTTTTGCTGGACACCAAGGAAGACTCAAACAATGATCAGCCAATCAAGAACTCTCTCTGGAACAACCTGATTGGTGAAATGCGGGACAGGGACGTCAATACAGACACCCCAGCTGTGATCATTTTACACTGTCGAACTACAACTGTTCGAGCGACAGGCAATGTGGAGATTACAATGATGCTCTCTCCAAGCGAGAAAAAGAGGTTTGATCAAAAAAAACAGGAGCTGAAGGAGAAATACAAGACAAAGTCAGAGACCTTCCATGCCTTCAACATAATGCAGGGAGGTTTCCGGAAGGAGGACGCCGAGAAACTGATCACAGCAGAAATGAAGGAATATGTGCAAAAGAATCCAACGTCCAAAAGCACAAGACTTCTCAGCTTTTTGGCTTTGATAAACTCATACGTCCCAGGCTCACACTTGTCGAAGCTTTCGTGCGAGGAATTCACCGCACAAACAGACCGTCCCTCCGATGAGGCTAACCTCCCACTGGAAACGATAATGAAGCCTTTCATGAATCTCATAGTCATATTCTCAGAAGGAAAACCAAAAACCGACTGCATACGCATGGCACATCCAATGATTGCGGATGCGTGTGTAAATATGCTCACCGAGCACAAACTGACAAGATTTGACATCGCTTCCGACTTCTTGCGAAACATGGTCAAAGGAAAGGAGGGAGAGTACATGCGAATTTGCAAGAGATTGTTAATCAAAAGGGACGACCCGGAAAAACACAGGTTTTCCAGACTGATTCATCGCCTCAAGATGGGTCACACGAAATGCATTTGTTTGTTGGAGCTGGGTTCAGATTTGTTCACCAATGACCCTGTCTATCCTCAAACACTTGCGCGTTTCTATTACATTGAGGTAAACAAATTTGATAAGGCAGAAATCTGGGCAAAAAAGGCCATTGACAGAGCGCCCAAAAAATCTCACATCATGGATACACTCGGGCAAGTTCACAAAAGCCACTTGCGGACCATTCTTGCAGAAAACACACGCACAGACACAGACACAGACAAGGTTGTGCATATTGCAAACTCTGCCATCAAAGCATTTAAAGAGGAAGGAGAAGCAGCAGAAGTCGAGTCAGAAGACATCTCCAGTTTCAATAACAGGGGCAAATTCGGATATCTCCAGGTTTGCAAGGACATCTATGATTTAAGTGCAAAAAACCCTCTCGAACAAAAATACAGTGGATTCATCAGTGGTCTCAGAGGTGACGTCGAGGAGAGATATGATTTCTTTGAATGGTACCTGGCATTCTCAAGACCAAGGATCAATAAACATGACCCGAACTACCTTCATGATGACATTGAAGAGTGCTACAAGCGATACTTTGAAACGCCAACTCGTGAAGACAGCCTGAATGAGAAAAAAATGAAGTCTTTTGCCGGACTACTTCACTTCCCCAAATCTGATATTAGTGTGCTTAAACGAAATCTGAGTGCATTTCAAAATCCACAATCTGATGACGAAACCCAGAACATTCTCTACGTTTCCGCCAACATCATCCTGAGTGTGTTTGATGAGCAGTCTGATAAAGTCGAGGAGCTCCAGGCCAGCTTGCAGAAACTCTGGCAGAGCAAAGAGGAACGCAGAGACCCAGAGTTTTACCTCTTGATTCTTCTGCTCTTTTGGTTTGATGAGGCACAGACGAGAATCCCAAACCCTCCAGACCTGATCAAATGTGTCCGATATATGCACGATTCATATGAGAAGAACTATCAGAAATACCTCCGCGGACGCTACCTGGTGCCTTTGCTTTTCTTTGGGGAAGGGACTGGTTTGCAGAGACTGGTTCACAGCTCACAACTACATCCGGATGATTCTCCTGGCGAGTTGGAGCTCCTGTTAGAAAAAGGTGGAGTTAATCGTCTCAAGCGGATCAGCGGGACGGTCGAGGAGAAACAAAAAGTGTTTGCTATTAGAGACGGGAAACAGATTCAAGTCACTCCTCACAAACCGGCCAGTGTTTACAAACAAGGCGAGGTGTCTTTCTACCTCGGCTTTAATATCAGAGGACCCGTTGCCTTCAACATCACATACACATGAAGTAAAGTATCTGATGCTGTAAGTCAAGCATGCTTCATATTTAAGACTATTCAATGTTTCGGTAACACTTGACAATAATGTTCATTAGTTAACATGAAAATACTTCTTTCGTGTGACCAATGTTTCATATTTGGTATTATTTGGTATATTCAGTACAATTTGATTGTGTTCGAAATGTCTCAGTAAAAGATTTTATTCCCTTTTCTCGGCAGAGTTCATGGATTATCACATAAACACATGTGCATTGACCCTGGAAATGCTCAACAGTGACTAAAGACTGAGAGAGAGAGAGAGAGAGAGAGAGAAACTTTCCCATCAGGCTAAAAGACTGCACAATAATGATGCAACGTTTACCAAATCATGTTTATGTAATATTCAGTAATAGTTATATTTGAATTGTATGATTTAACTGCTTTAACTGATTCTCCGAACTCAAATATTACAAATCTTGTCTTGAGATCTTTTAGAAAAAAATCACAAGTTTATGTAAAGTATGATGCATAATTTAGACATTTTATGAGGTAAAGAACGTGTTAAGGAAGAGAGGGGAAATTAAAAAAATATTAGTTAATATTATTATGCTGGTGGTGGGTTGGTAAGTTCAAACTATTTTAATTGTTTATACAGCTAGAGAAAATTGACATTTTAGACATTTGAGATGCATTTATTATTTGCTGCAGTGTGTCTATATATGTATTTCAATAAAAGTTATATTACAGTATCACTTGGTGTGCACATATCCTGTTAATGTTTCTGGGCATTACATAAGAAATATTATGCATGCATGGATCAGCATTGTTCATTATTCATGTTATCCGCTGTTCTTGATATTCAACTGGACTCAAATGCTGGTTTGATATCACACATATTTTGCCTGATCGTCTCTGCTGTGTTTGCTGGTGTATGACCCTTATGCACTGTCTATTAGACGTATAAATGTAGTCGTTCAATAGTCATCTAATTGTTGACTATAGTCTATACTTGGGTTATGGTTAGACGTCTATTAGATTTTCACTGACACCCCAAATTTAGCCTTGTTTTAGCCTAAACGTCTGGGCTATGTTTTGACGACTATAAGACGCAAAATTGATTGCTGGGCTTCCTTTATTTGTTTTTAGAAGAGAGGTTCAACAGTACATCCAAAGCATTTCATCATCTAAGAATCTCAAACTCATAAAGACAATAAACTGATTTTAACTTTTTCATTTAATTCATTAAAGATTTCTGTTCTGTGTTTTTTTTTACACCCCATCTAGCGGTGTAAGGGTATATACGGTGGCCAATGTAGTCCAAGATTAACATGGTTTCCAGTTCGACCTCGTCCATGAGTGTTAATTCAAACGTAAACGCGAAAGGCGAAGCTTGAATTAACAGGTATGTCCCTCTTTGGCTAATGTACTTTCAAGATGGAGGGGCAACATGGCGACCGACATTAGAACCCCTACCCGTATGTATTTTCAATGGCATACTATACACTCTCGAGAATACTTTATTACTTGAACGAAGTAAATATGCATTAATGAGCACAAATATTTTTGAAAGAACTAAGTGTTTTTAGCTAAGAATAAACTAAAAGAGTTACACAGTGTAGCCTAATGAGTAGCATAATATACACAGGCTATGCATGTGATGCTTTGGTTTCTTTGTCCTTTCGTTGCATGTAATTGTTACACTTTTGCTATATACTTATATTTTTGATACCTTTGCATTAATAAGAAAAAAATCTCTAATTTTGAAAGTTCAATAGAGTGCCGAAGTGACGACGTCACTCTGTAGGCCGAAACGCGGAAGTGAGTTAGCATTTTAGCACTACGGTTCCCTCGCTCTGTCAAAGGATTGTTGAATGGGGTTTTGCTAAATCGCCTGAAATAAGGTCTGTGGTGAACAGAGCCTCTAAATATTTTCACGTTTTGATCTATGACATAGAACACACAGTTATAACCTGCTTATGTTTTTTTATTATATTTATTGTGTCTGATTGTGTTTTTTTAAAATCTTTATATAGGCTTCAAAATGTATAAATTTTGGATTAACTTGTAAAGATTATCTTGATAGACAAAACGTGTAAGGGTCACAACTCTTTGTTTAAACACAGATCTTATTTTTTACGATTTTCCAAAAGTCTATGGGGAAAATGCATTGCTTTTCGGTGCAACGCTAGCTTCCGAGTTGTCCTACAAAGTGACGTCATCACTAACGAGCGCCCCCCGCCGACACGGGCGGTAGTACAACAACACGAGGACGTGATTCACTTCCGAGGGCAGAAAGCTGCAAACACAGGACTGCAGATCCAGGCAGACTCATTCACAGTGTCCCTATGAATATCTGAAGATGACAATCCTGCTCCTGCGGTTTGAATGTGAGCTGAATGTGACGGGGGATCGGTGAATCACTCCTTGGGCCTCTGCTCAGGAAACACCGCGGATGAGACTGAGGCCTGGTGAGTTCTGCGGAATGAACTGTGATTTTTAAACATGTAAGTTTTGCGTCTTAACACGTTGTATTTCTATGATGAACATATCAGACCTGTCTCACATCAGTTTACCATGGTTTTACCATAGATAATAACTGTCGTACCTTGTATTTTTTGGAAATATTAGTGTTCTACTTCAACACCACCACAGTATAACTATCTTTACCTTTCGTTAGTTTAACGTTTGACACTCGTTCGGTTTCACACCAATTTAACTATTTGTACATTTTATGTTTTCAGTCTAAAGCAACTCAGATATAACGTTACATAAACAAATGTCCTTTGCAGCACAAGCCTTAATTTCAAGAACATATTAATTAGCCCTATAATTCTAATTAAAAATTTTGATGATATAAAACAAATAGAAAAATATCCCTTTTATTGCACAAAGCTCCGTTTTTGGAATTGGCATTTCATGTTTGATAACGTTAATATTTTTCAACTTTAAATGTGTGTATTAGCCTACTGTAAATAAATTAAACTACAACACCGTTTGACCTAAAGGTATCAATCCAGCTGTGAAGTATTTTCAAATTATTATTCCCTATAATGCACAAGGTTTATTTTTCCAGATTATTATACTGGTAATTTTTATAAAGCTTGTTTTAATTGCTTGAAAAATGGAGCCTTATGCAATAAAAGGGAGTGTTTTACATTTTACTATTAGTTTGATATCATAATGTCATTTGGCTAAATTATTGAATTGATTTATAGGGCTAATTAATGTGTTGTATAATTTCTTGAGATAATACTTATAGTGGATTTGTTTATGTATATCTGAGTTGGTTTGAGCTGAGAACATGAAATGGGCACAGATAGTTTGAATGACCGAATGTCAAACGTTAAGCTAACTTCGTGGTCGTGGTGGTATTCTGAAGGAAATGTAAAATAATACCATTATACTAGCAGCTGTGACACTGATCTGATCTACCATAGTTATTATGATTAATACTCATTATGATTAATAAAGTGTTGTTGTTCTGTTCCAGCTTGATCATGGCTGAAGATCCTCAGAGGAACTTCCGCTCCGCGTATTATGAGAAAGTGGGATTCAGAGGAGTGGAGGAGAAGAAATCGCTGGAGATCGTGCTGAAGGACAATCCCCTGGGTGAGCTATTATTAATTATTATAATAATAATATTTCTTATGATTGTTTTTAGTGTTTAAATACCATGGAGAACAGTTTTACTTATTAACACTAATAATAACAACAGTTATTGGTATTTTTATTATTCATTTTTCATGCTTTTTTAATTGAGGTTTAAGAGTTCATTAAACAATAAACTTATTTTGACTGTAATAATAACAACAGTTATTATTATTACTTTATTATTTATTTAAACATTTTTATGTTGTATTTGTTCAAGAACCACCCCATTGAAGACATTGAACATTATTTTTATTTTTTGACACTGTAAAAAGTAATAATAATATTTTTTTAATTATTTTAAATGTTGGTGTAAGTGTTCAATAACCACGCAGAACTGTTTTAAAATTTTTTTGTTATTTTTTAGACATTAATCTAAACTGTTATTATTTTTTTCATGAATCATTTTTCATGCATTTCTAATTGTGGTTTAAACAGTTTTTTCTGTTATTTTGACTGTAATAATAACAGTTATTGTTATTACTTTTTTAATTTTTTAAATACTTTTTATGTTGTTTTAAGTGTTCAATAACCACGCAGAACATTACATAATTGTTTATTGATTTTTAGTATTTTTGACAGTATAAAAAGTAAAAATAATAATTATAATGTTGGTGTTAGTGTTAAATTAACATGCAGAACAGTTTTTTTTCTCTCATTCTGACTGTAATAATAAAAGTTTAAGTTATTCTTCTTACTATTATCATTATTATTACTTTATTATATTTGTAATGTTGGTTTAAGTGTTCAACAACGTACATTATTGATATAAATTTTTCCTATTTGACACTATGATAAATAGCAATTGTAATAATAATAATTATTTTTAATGTTGATGTTTATTTTTTCCTGTTATTTTTGACACTAATAATAACAGTTATTATTAGTATTTGTATTATTTTATTTTGTGTTCATTTTTAATGTTGGTTTAAGAGTTAAATTACCACACGACAGATTTTTTAAGTTTTTATTATTATTATTATTTTTCTAAAAGCAACATCCAGAACATCCATTTTTGACTATAAAAATAACAATTATTATCATTATTGTTATCATAGGCCATTCTTTATTATGACTTGATTCTACACATAAACATGCAAAACTGATAATTTCATGATATTAAATATTGCTGACTCTCATAGCATGCGAGCGCTGTGCGCATGTTGACGGTGTGTGTGTGTGTGTGTGTGTGTGTGTGTGTGTGTGTGGTGTTTCAGATGTGGAGAAGCTGAGCACGTTCAGTCAGAGGTTTCCGCTGCCCTCCATGTACCGGATCCACGTCTGGAAAGTCTTACTGGGTGAGAACATGAGCGTATGATTAAAAATATACATATTATTCATGAATCATGGGTAGACAGAGGTCATCGCTCCCAACGGTGAACCATTGAAATTTCGAAAAGATGTGTAATGAAGCCCGCTGAAATCACGTGATGCACTGTTAATATAACTTTATCTTTGGTCAAATCAACTTACATAATGTAGTTCAGATAACATCATATTTTGAGTTTCTATTAATTAAACCAATTTCCTTCATTGTATTTTTTTCAATGAACTTAAAATTTAAAGGCAACCAGGTAACTTATGTTTTTGAGTTTAAAGGATTAGTTCAGTTTTGAAAAAACTGATAATTTACTCGCCCCCATGCCATCCAAGATGTCCATGTCTTTCTTTCTTCAGTGGAAAAGAAATTAAGGTTTTTGATGAAAACATTCCAGGATTTTCTCCATATAATGGACTTCAATGGGGACCAAACGGTTCAAGGTCCAAATGAGAGTTTCAGTGCAAACTGTTCAAATGTCTTTAAACGATATCAGACGATGAATAAGGGTCTTATCATGCGAAACGATCGGTTATTTCAAAACTTATTCCAAAATGTAACTTTTCTAAGGGCAAATGCTAGCCTTGCTCTATTCTGTGAGGCGCGTTTGTAACGTGACGTAATACGTAATTACGCTCAAAAGGTCACGGGCGACGTAGCCGTAAGTACAGAGTCAGTGTTTACAAGTTGAACGCATAGGTTGAACGTGCAAACCAACTCAAACGCCGTTTACAAAAAAGGAATTAAAAGGTAAAACAACGATGTCGGACGATTTTGATTCTGTACTTCCGGCTACGTCGCCCGTGACCTTTTGAACGTAATTACATATTACGTGACGTAATAAGTTTTGAAATAACCGATTGTTTCGCTTGATAAGACCCTTATTCATCGTCTGGTGTCGTTTAAAGACATTTGAACAGTTTGCACTGAAACTCTCATTTGGACCTTGAACCGTTTGGTTCCCATTGAAGTCCATTATATGGAGAAAATCCTGGAATGTTTTCATCAAAAACCTTAATTTCTTTTCGACTGAAGAAAGAAAGACATGGACATCTTGGATGACATGGGGGCGAGTAAATTATCAGCAAAAGTTTTTTCAAAAGTGAACTAATCCTTTAACCAACAATAATTTTTTGATACACAGTTTGATACACACTCCGAAACACTGATTCAGGACAAAAGATTCGTAAAGGCTTCGTAGCTTCATGAAGCAGTGTTTTGAAATTGCCATCATTTCTATACTTCACACACTCCTACGGGGTTAAACACACATTTTTAGAAGGGCTGGGTGGAAATTTGAAGGGGTTAAACACACACACACACACTAACATAATACATAATTAGAATAAATAAATAAATAATGAAGTAATAACAATAATTATTATTAAAGTAATAATTCTGCATGTTTATTGATCTCTGCATGACAGAGTAATAATGATGAAGTAGTGAGTGTGAGTGTGTGTCGTGTCCTCAGGTATCCTGCCCCCCCACAGCGACTCTCACGCGCTGGTGTCCCGCTGTCGCCTCCAGCAGTTCCAGGACATCAGCTCCGCTCTGACGGCCATGCGCTTCACACACACACACACTCCGCCGACCGAGCTTTACCTGCGCATGTACCAGCTGGAGAACCAGAGGCTGCCCCGGCGCAGCGAGCCCAGGCCTGCGGTGAGAGTCCACACACACACACCTATACACACACACACCTTTACATGCCTCATGTCTCAGGCGTGTGTGTGTGTGTCTTCCAGGACGACGAGGACGAGAACTTCCTGGCCATCAGCCGAGCGATGGAGGAGATCGTGGACGACCCGGTGGACTGCTATTGGCTGGTGCGCTGCTTCCTCAACCAGTTCAAGCTCAAGTTTGGAGACTCCATCCCTCACCTGGTACATGCGGACCTCACCGAGAACTCTCTCCCTCGTGTTGTTCAACCCGTCAGACTTTCCTTCATCTTCAGATATATTCGTGATTAAATCTGAGAGCTGTCTCACTCCTCCATAGACTTCTATTGTAATTGAAACTTGCCGGAACAGAAAGTTATTAAAGACATCGTTAAAATAGCCCGAGTGACGACAGCGGCTCAACCTTAAGATTATCAAGCGGCGAGAACACTTTATGTGTTCACAATTATCCAAAGATGAAGGAAAGTTCAATTACTGTTAGAAAGAAAGAGTAATGACTGACCGAATTGAACTAATCGTTTAATATTTATTATTATTTATTAATGATTGTTTGACACACACACAAAAAAAAAATCATTAATTGTATAATAATTGTAAAAAAATCATTAATTGTATAATAATTACTACAATTATTGAATATTATTAGGGCTGTCAAACGATTAATCGCATCCAAAATAAAAGTTTGTGTTTACATAATATATGTGGGTGCTCTGTGTATAATTATAATATATATATATATATATATATAAATACACACACATGCTTAAGAAATATTTTCATGTATATACTGTATATAGATTTATATAAATTTATATTATATATAAATATAAATATTTTATATATAAAAAATATTTTTTTTGTTAAATATATACAAGCATGTGTGTGTGTGTATTTATAAATATTAAATAATAAATATACACAGTGCACCCACAGATATTATGTAAACACAAACTTTTATTTTGGATGCGATTAATCGCGATTAATCGTTTATCAGCCCTAAATATTATGTTTTTTAATAATATATTGTTCAGGTACTACCTACTTTAATAGGTAGGGCTACATTAACAAGTAACAGATTTTTAGTTAATTTTCGACACTAAAATGTATAAAATAAAATTAATAATTTGAAGTACATTAATAATATAAGTTATTATTATTTCTATTTGCATTTTTAATTCTGGGTTAGGAGTTCAATTGACTGTAATAATAGCAGTTGTTGTTGTTATTATTATTGCTTATTAATTGTAATATTTGAAGTGTTTAATAACCATGCAGAATATACCGTACTTTTATTGCTTTTTACTTCTTGACACCAAAATAACAACTATCATTATTATTATGATCTTTAATATTATCTGTTAATATATAGTTAATATTGTTTAAATTGTTTAGTGTTCAATAACCATCCAGAACAGTTTTTTAAATTTATTGTTGATTTTTTTCATGCATTTTTAATTATGGTTTTCTGTTATTTTGACACTAATATTAACAGTTATTATTATTATTACTTTTTCAATTTGTGTTAGTTTAAGTGTTCAGTCCCATGCAGAAAGTACAGATTTTCAAAAATGTTTTTACTTTTTGACTATAATAATACCAGTGATACTATATAATAATATTTTTGTTGTTGTTGTTGTTAAGGCTACAGTAATCATCTAGAACAGATTTAATATTTTTTATTTTTTTTTGTCCTAAACATATGAAGCTCCAAAACTAACGAAAACCTCCATTAATGTTCCTCAAAAGCGGTCCAGATGAAGTGTTGTGTTTCCTGTTCCTGCAGCCGAAGAGTCTGGAGCACTTCCTGTCTCAGGAGGACGCGTGTCTGCTGGCTCACCTGAAGGCGTCCGGCTCTCTGCACTCGCTGCCGTACCGCCTCTGGTTCAGACGCTGCTTCGCCGGGTGTTTGCCGGAGTCCAGCCTACAGAGGTCAGCACACACTATCCATCACCACTATAATCACTCTGATTCTGGCTTACTTTTAATGCATTTTTAATTGTAGTTCACTTCTGTCACATGACCTCATGTTGCATGAGTAGCGTCCAGTGTTCATCTCTTATATAAATAACTTGTTCTACAGTATTCATAGTTTTTGGTGTGTTGTGATTGGCTGACTGCTTGACTGTGCTGTCGTGTGATTGGCCGGCAGGGTGTGGGATAAAGTGATCAGCGGCTCCTGTAAGATTCTGGTGTTTGTTGCCGTGGAGATTTTGCTCAGTTATAAGATCCTGCTGATGGGAATCAGTCACCCGGATGGAGTTTACAACTTCCTGTCTAACGTAAGCACAACAGTATTCATTCGGTTACATATGTGCAAAAGTTATTATTGAAAATGACTGTTCTGCGGTCAGTACATGTTAATTAATCCGTGACATGATATATTTTATATTCTCCAATGCTCTCGTCCCATAGACTGTTATTATAGAGTTATAAAACCAGGGGGAAAAAAATATTACTTAAATAAAATTTCAGTAGCTGAAATTACATTTTGTTTTAGCAGCAGCAACATTTCTCAACTTAAACAAAATACTGAAATAAATGTTTTATTTATTAGTTACACACTTTTTTATATAAATGTGTTTTTAGATTTTCTAGTTCTAAACATGACAAACACAATTACAAAAACTTTAACATTACTGAAATAAAATTTTATATATATTTTTATAATTAAACAAATATTTTAAAATAATCCAAACTTGAAAAAAAAAAACATTTCTAAAACTTTTAACTAAAGTTAATATTGATGTATAAAATTAATAATATATATTTATAATTTAAAATATTCCAAACCTGACAAAAACACAACAAAATTAATAAAACTTTTAACTAAAATTAACAAATAATACTGAAATAAAAATGTATGTTTTTATAATTAAATATTTTAAAATACATGACAAAAACACTTACTAAAATTAACCAAAAGTAATGAAATAAAAATGTGTTTTTTAGATTTTCTTTTTTAAATATATTTTATAATTAAAGAAATATTTTAAAATAATCTAAACATGAAAAAAAAACATTTCTAAAACTTTTAACTGAAATTAACAAAAAATACTGAAACACAATTGTTTTTTTTTTATATTATATATTTATTTTTAGAAGACTATTTTAAAATATTCCAAACCTAACAAAATCACAACAAAATTAATAAAACTTTAACTAAAATCAACAAAAAAATACTGAAATAATTTTTATTTTTTTTATAATTAAATATTTTAAAATCCATGACAAACACACTAACTAAAATTAACCAAAAATTCTGAAATAAAAATGTATCTTTTTTAAAAATAACTATATATTTTAAAATACATGACAAAAACAAACTCAAATTAATAAAAAAATAATAATAAAAAAAACAAGGAATTATTTTATTTTCGTCAGTATATTAAATAACACTACGCCACACTTGATGTTTATAGACTTTATATTAAACCCAGAAAATCTCTTCTCTGTAATCAATCTTTTTGGCTGATGTTTATGCACCCACATTTTAAAATATTCTAAGCATAACAAAATTACTTAAACTTTTACTAAAACTAACAAAAAATAAAATGTATAAATTTTCTTTTTCTTCAAATAATTAAATGTTTTAAAATACATGATAAAACCACTAACTAAAAAATTATTTTTTTAAAATCAGTATTTAATAATTACATATTGTCTTTTCCTCGCTATAACACTATGCTACAAATGATCTTTATAGACCTTTTATTGGACCCAGAAAATCCCTGTTCTGTAACTGATCTTTGTGTCTGATGTTGAACAAACACGCTCCTGTACGTGTGTGTGTGTGTGTAAAGATCTGGCGTGTTTCTACAGCTGCCCCAGGACAACACCGACGCCATCGTCACCAAAGCCATCGACCTGTGGCACAAGCACTGCGGGACGCCCATGCACGCGGTGTGAGATGACAGGAAGCGCACAGATGTGTGTGTGTGTACTCATCCTTTATTAGGCTCCTTTACATCAGAATCTGCACACATCGTTCAGGAGTGACAGTACGTTACACCACATGCTCAGAAAACACGTCTGTCTGCGAGTCGCCACAGAAATACACTCGTTATTCCTGATCTGGAAAAGTGCCTAAAATTCTCAAAAAGTCCCTTTGAATGATCCACAGAAAAACAGATGCGTGTGAATAAAGAAAGACAGAAATATATATATATAATTATTATTGTTGTTTTTTTTGGATGATTGTTTCGTTTAATGCCCGATGTGTTCAGTATCAAAGTCAGTTAAAAATATTTATAAATAATATATGAACATAAAAATGTACAATAGTAGCATTTACAATAGTGTTTTGTAAACATATGAACTAACAGTGAGCAATATATTTATTACAAGTCATATTTACGTTAGTTAACTAATGTTTACAAATACTTTTCATTTTCACAACGTACGGTGACACTTTACAATAAGATCCCATTAGTTATTGTTAATGGATGTATTAACTCACAATGAGTATTTTTTTCATTTTGTTAACATGAGTTATCCAAAAAATAACATTAATAGATACAACTTTTGATTTCAATAATGTATTAGTAAATGTATTTAAAAGTATTATTCATTGTTCATGTGAACAAGTGAAACCTTATCGTAAACTGAATTAAATGTGGAAGTAAATGTTAAAATGAACATTAATACTAATGTAGTTAACTAATGAAACCTTATTGTAAAGTGTTGCTGTTACAATTTGTGTTCATTGTTACTAAAATACTAAATGCAACGCTGATTATTGTGAGTTTCTTGAATGTTTTGGTTTATATTTTGGCAACAGGACGCCCTGTAGAGTGGGCGGAGTTTAAAGGGTGCGCCCAACTCGATCACAAGACCAGCGAGCGCCGTTGAGCACATATTGAGACAAAAGAGGAAAAAAAAAGCCATAAATATAGTCAGTCAATCCCATTATTGCTGTCCTGTTGCTCAGCTTGAGCCTGTCGGGAACGTCTCCGCTGTGATTGGTCAGTATTGTGGGCGTGACAAGTTTGCTTTTTTGCTATTGGTTAAAGAGGACCTATTATGCTTTTTCTCCGTGTTTAGTGTGTGTGATGTTGCTGTTTGAGCCTGAAAAAGAGAGTTCTCCTCGATATCAGAGTCAGTGTTTCTGAACTCGCTAGTCTCGACTGTTTCCTGAAACTATGTTGTCGCAAATTGATCGTTCAATCACGTTGGTTAATGACGTCACGCGCGTGTGTAGTAATAACTACTGTTAATGAAGCTGTTTGAGATCGAATTAACGCTGGGTGTTTTGCTATAAATCACAGAGGAATATTTCTCAATTTTCTCAGTTATTTTGACAACTCAAAGACGTAAATGACATTTGAATGTTTTGTTAATAACGCTTGCTTGCGTGTCTCAAGATCAGGATTTATTGAGTCCACATGTCACGAAAACAAGAAACTGCTTCAAACCGCAGCTCGAGATCTGTCGCTCACACACACCTCTGCGAATGTTTGTTAAAACTGTGTTTTTGCGAAACACCGACTCGTTGAACATAACATTCAAACAGGAAAACCTGTTCTAGTCGAGACTTTGTAAAATGCCATAACAGGTCCTCTTTAAAGACGTTTTTGTGACGTTAGTAATGCCGAGCTCTCGGGTTTGATTCCCAAGGGAACGCATGAACTGATAAACAATGCAATGGATGAAAGCGTCAAAATGAAAAGTGCAGAAAGTGTGGACTATTTTGTGTGTAATAATGCTCCAGAAATAGTGTGTAATAGTCCCTCCAGAAAAACGCGATTATGCGATCGCTGAATTCAATGCAAAATCAGCCAAAGCTGATATATATATAACACCGCACCGCACATATAACACTGCAGAGAGCTCTTAAAGGGGCCACACCTTATTTACACTCGTTACAGTCTGAAATAAAACAAGATGAGAAATTAAATATTCCCAGCACTTTCTATGATGTAGTATGCTTGCTTATCAAAGGAAGTAATAAGAAATGACTCTTACATTAACAGGATGTTGGGGGAATCACTTTTTTTCTCTTTTTCATCAAACCGCAATTTTTGCAAGTTCCCTCAATTTTTGCAAATTCCTCCAATTTCATCGCATAAAATTGCATAAATATCCCGCATATTCCATCGCATTTTTAAAGAAAACGGGCCGCGTAATCAATCAATTTTTGCCCGCAACAATCACAAAAAAACTCAGCGTTTTTCTGGAAGGACTGAATACTATTTTGGTCAGTGTTATATATAAATCGCACATTTTTTCACAAATTTTTGGAAATTACCACCACAAAATCACTCATTTTGATCGCAAAAATCACCAAAAAAAATTGTGAAATCCTGGAGGGACTGAATGCTCAATAAAAAAGTTGTTTTCCCTGTTTTTAAAACCTAAAAGGACTGTGGAATCACTTCTCAGGTACATGTAGGAAATCAACGACATCATCCGCTGCATTAAAACCATCGCCTGGAGAAAAGAAATAAGAAACTCATGGAGAAGAGCATGTCAAAAACAGAAATATCAGCACACTTCTGGTTGGTCTCCACCGGCGCGTGGCGAGAGTCCGAGGATCCGCTCCGGATCTGTCGTCTGAACCGTGTGATTCCTGATACGTGTGCAGCTGTTCAGCGTCCCAGTAAAGTCTTAACGGCTCCATACGAGAGTTCGCCGTCACTACGGCCGATGAAACCTGTGGAGAACATCAGACTGGCTCAGAAACATGACACCCATCCCACAATGCAATGAGCATGACCCGAGGACATCTACAGAAGTCCACATTTGAAGAGGGTCAACAAAAGTTGTCGGTATTGTGACAGATTTCCATTATTAATAGGAGTGAGCAAGTAATTAACATGTATAAAGATGTAAGATACAACCAATGTGTTGTTTATTTTGTGTGTGTGTGTGTGTGGTCACCTGGTTAGATGTCGACTCGACTCATGTACCTCCATCTCTGTGCTTTTGAACTCATTGAGTTCTTTGCGTATGGCAGCCTGTGAGAGACACAGACATGTTTAAATGTTAAACCAAGACTTGACTAACACAGTTATAACATTTAAATGCTTAAATAACGTAAAATAAAGAAATACAAAATGAAAGTAAAAGTCAGCAGCCCCTCACGGACAACTGCTGTCACATGATAATACACAAGTGTGCAGGCCTGGTCCTCTCTCTCCCTCCACTGAGATGCGAGACCGGATACTCGCAGCCCTCGGCCTCGTCGCCACATTGGCAGAAAGCGTGTGATGTGCAGTGTGATGATGCGGATGAACCTTATCGGCAGCGGTGAGTCTCGTCCAGGGTTTGTCCGCTCGCCGGTCGTAATCCTGAGCTTCGGCCACTTCCACGTAATCGCTGAAGCGGATGAGGATTTTGGCCTCTCTGAGCTCCTCTACGGTAGGTCTCTGGCTCAGCTAAACACACAAAGCACAGGCATAGGCACCGCTTTATAGGGACAATATCCACTAGTGTGATTCCCAAAGAACTAATGCGTCCCTTAGGAACATTTTCCTGTTGCATTCGCGCTGCTATAGGAACTCTGATTAACAAATATTTTTTAAATCATCCACCAAATTATCATCCCTTCCTTACAGTTGAATGACTTGTACTTACAGTCCGGTGCGACTTATATATGTTTTTTCCCTCTAAATATCGTATCTTTTGACCGATGCGACTTTTAGTCCGTAGCACCAAGCGCCATCCCATAATTCCACCGTCCACGAACCCAATATTTTTAAAATGGCATAAATACTACGTGAGATCTCAATATCAGCTCTGGAAGGGACTAGAGCCTCCATTTTTGCAGTCAGGTGTAAGTCTCATGGCCCTCTATCAGAATCCAGACTTTCAAGAAGATTGGGGATACTTAATTTTTCACCAGAAAATGAAAAAAAAAACGAAAGGGGTAACACTGTCGTTTTTTTTTCGGGTCGAAATTTTGAATTTTGATATCTTCGCTCTGGAAGGGTCTAGATCCTCAATTTTTGCACTCAGGTCAAAGTCTCACAGCCCTCTATCATAATTCAGAGTTTTGAGAAGATTGGAGAAACGTAATTTTTCGCCTGAAAACGAAAAAAAAACGAAAGGGGTAACACTGTCGTTTTTTTTTTCGGGTCGAAATTTTGAGTTTTGATATCTCACCTCTGGAAGGGTCTAGAGCCTCAATTTTTGCAGTCAGGTGTAAGTCTCATGGCCCTCTATCAGAATCCAGACTTTCAAGAAGATTGGGGATACTTAATTTTTCGCCCCAAAAAAAAAAAACGTAAGGGGTAACACTGTCGTTTTTTTTTCTGGTCGAAATGTTGAGTTTCGATATCTCAGCTCTGGGAGGGTCTAGAGCCTCCATTTTTGCAGTCAGGTGTAAGTCTCATGGCCCTCTATCAGAATCCAGACTTTCAAGAAGATTGGGGATACTTAATTTTTCGCCCAAAAAAAAAAAAACGTAAGGGGTAACACTGTCGTTTTTTTTTCTGGTCGAAATTTTGAGTTTTGATATCTCAGCTCTGGAAGGGACTAGAGCCTCCATTTTTGCAGTCAGGTGTAAGTCTCATGGCCCTCTATCAGAATCCAGACTTTCAAGAAGATTGGGGATACTTAATTTTTCGCCCAAAAAAAAACAAAAAACGTAAGGGGTAACACTGTCATTTTTTTTTCTGGTCGAAATTTTGAGTTTCGATATCTCAGCTCTGGAAGGGACTAGAGCCTCCATTTTTGCAGTCAGGTGTAAGTCTCATGGCCCTCTATCAGAATCCAGACTTTCAAGAAGATTGGGGATACTTAATTTTTCACCAGAAAATGAAAAAAAAACGAAAGGGGTAACACTGTCGGTTTTTTTTTCGGGTCGAAATTTTGAATTTTGATATCTTCGCTCTGGAAGGGTCTAGATCCTCAATTTTTGCACTCAGGTCAAAGTCTCACAGCCCTCTATCATAATCCAGAGTTTTGAGAAGATTGGAGAAACTTAATTTTTCGCCTGAAAACGAAAAAAAACGAAAGGGGTAACACTGTCGTTTTTTTTTTTCGGGTCGAAATTTTGAGTTTCGATATCTCAGCTCTGGAAGGGTCTAGAGCCTCCATTTTTGCACTCAGGTGTAAGTCTCATGGCCCTCTATCAGAATCCAGAGTTTCAAGAAGATTGGAGAAACTTAATTTTTCGCCCAAAAAAAAAAAAAACGTAAGGGGTAACACTGTCGTTTTTTTTTCTGGTCGAAATTTTGAGTTTCGATATCTCAGCTCTGGAAGGGTCTAGAGCCTCCATTTTTGCACTCAGGTGTAAGTCTCATGGCCCTCTATCAGAATCCAGAGTTTTGAGAAGATTGGAGAAACTTAATTTTTCGCCCCAAAAAAAAAAACGTAAGGGGTAACACTGTCGTTTTTTTTTCGGGTCGAAATTTTGAGTTTCGATATCTCAGCTCTGGAAGGGTCTAGAGCCTCCATTTTTGCACTCAGGTGTAAGTCTCATGGCCCTCTATCAGAATCCAGAGTTTCGAGAAGATTGGGGAAACTTAATTTTTCGCCCCCAAAAAAAAACGTAAGGGGTAACACTGTCGTTTTTTTTTTCGGGTCGAAATTTTGAGTTTCGATATCTCAGCTCTGGAAGGGTCTAGAGCCTCCATTTTTGCACTCAGGTGTAAGTCTCATGGCCCTCTATCAGAATCCAGAGTTTTGAGAAGATTGGGGAAACTTAATTTTTCGCCCAAAAAAAAAAACGTAAGGGGTAACACTGTCGTTTTTTTTTTTCGGGTCGAAATTTTGATTTTCGATATCTCAGCTCTGGAAGGGTCTAGAGCCTCCATTTTTACACTCAGGTTAAGTCTCTGGCCCTCTATCAGAATCCAGAGTTTTGAGAAGATTGGAGAAACTTAATTTTTCGCCCAAAAAAAAAACGTAAGGGGTAACACTGTCGTTTTTTTTTTCGGGTCGAAATTTTGAGTTTCGATATCTCAGCTCTGGAAGGGTCTAGAGCCTCCATTTTTGCACTCAGGTCTAAGTCTCATGGCCCTCTATCAGAATCCAGAGTTTTGAGAAGATTGGAGAAACTTAATTTTTCGCCCGAAAAAAAAAACGTAAGGGGTAACACTGTCTTTTTTTTTCGGGTCGAAATTTTGAATTTCGATATCTCAGCTCTGGAAGGGTCTAGAGCCTCCATTTTTGCACTCAGGTCAAAGTCTCACAGCCCTCTATCATAATCCAGAGTTTTGAGAAGATTGGAGAAACTTAATTTTTCGCCCAAAAAAAAAAAAAACGAAAGGGGTAACACTGTCGTTTTTTTTTCGGGTCGAAATTTTGAATTTCGATATCTCAGCTCTGGAAGGGTCTAGAGCCTCCATTTTTGCACTCAGGTCAAAGTCTCGTGGCCCTCTATCAGAATCCAGAGTTTTGAGAAGATTGGAGAAACTTAATTTTTCGCCCAAAAACGAAAAAAAAACGAAAGGGGTAACACTGTCGTTTTTTTTCGGGTCGAAATTTTGAATTTCGATATCTCAGCTCTGGAAGGGTCTAGAGCCTCCATTTTTGCACTCAGGTCAAAGTCTCATGGCCCTCTATCATAATCCAGAGTTTTGAGAAGATTGGAGAAACTTAATTTTTCGCCCAAAAATGAAAAAAAACGAAAGGGGTAACACTGTCGTTTTTTTTTCGGGTCGAAATTTTGAATTTCGATATCTCAGCTCTGGAAGGGTCTAGAGCCTCCATTTTTGCACTCAGGTCAAAGTCTCACAGCCCTCTATCATAATCCAGAGTTTTGAGAAGATTGGAGAAACTTAATTTTTTGCCCAAAAAAAAAAAAACGAAAGGGGTAACACTGTCGTTTTTTTTTCGGGTCGAAATTTTGAATTTCGATATCTCAGCTCTGGAAGGGTCTAGAGCCTCCATTTTTGCACTCAGGTCAAAGTCTCGTGGCCCTCTATCATAATCCAGAGTTTTGAGAAGATTGGAGAAACTTAATTTTTCGCCCAAAAACGAAAAAAAACGAAAGGGGTAACACTGTCGTTTTTTTTTCGGGTCGAAATTTTGAATTTTATATCTCAGCTCTGGAAGGGTCTAGAGCCTCCATTTTTGCACTCAGGTCAAAGTCTCGTGGCCCTCTATCATAATCCAGAGTTTTGAGAAGATTGGAGAAACTTAATTTTTCGCCCAAAAACGAAAAAAAACGAAAGGGGTAACACTGTCGTTTTTTTTTCGGGTCGAAATTTTGAATTTCGATATCTCAGCTCTGGAAGGGTCTAGAGCCTCCATTTTTGCACTCAGGTCAAAGTCTCACAGCCCTCTATCATAATCCAGAGTTTTGAGAAGATTGGAGAAACTTAATTTTTCGCCCAAAAAAAAAAAAAAACGAAAGGGGTAACACTGTCGTTTTTTTTTTCGGGTCGAAATTTTGAATTTCGATATCTCAGCTCTGGAAGGGTCTAGAGCCTCCATTTTTGCACTCAGGTCAAAGTCTCACAGCCCTCTATCATAATCCAGAGTTTTGAGAAGATTGGAGAAACTTAATTTTTCGCCCAAAAACGAAAAAAAACGAAAGGGGTAACACTGTCGTTTTTTTTTCGGGTCGAAATTTTGAATTTTGATATCTCAGCTCTGGAAGGGTCTAGAGCCTCCATTTTTGCACTCAGGTCAAAGTCTCACAGCCCTCTATCATAATCCAGAGTTTTGAGAAGATTGGAGAAACTTAATTTTTCGCCCAAAAACTAAAAAAAACGAAAGGGGTAACACTGTCGTTTTTTTTTCGGGTCGAAATTTTGAATTTTAATATCTCAGCTCTGGAAGGGTCTAGAGCCTCCATTTTTGCACTCAGGTCAAAGTCTCGCGGCCCTCTATCATAATCCAGAGTTTTGAGAAGATTGGAGAAACTTAATTTTTCGCCCAAAAAAAAAAAAAACGAAAGGGGTAACACTGTCGTTTTTTTTTCGGGTCGAAATTTTGAATTTCGATATCTCAGCTCTGGAAGGGTCTAGAGCCTCCATTTTTGCACTCAGGTCAAAGTCTCACAGCCCTCTATCATAATCCAGAGTTTTGAGAAGATTGGAGAACTTATTTTTTCGCCCAAAAATGAAAAAAAAAAACGAAAGGGGTAACACTGTCGTTTTTTTTTTCGGGTCGAAATTTTGAATTTCGATATCTCAGCTCTGGAAGGGTCTAGAGCCTCCATTTTTGCACTCAGGTCAAAGTCTCACAGCCCTCTATCATAATCCAGAGTTTTGAGAAGATTGGAGAAACTTAATTTTTCGCCCCAAAAAAAAAAAACGAAAGGGGTAACACTGTCGTTTTTTTTTCGGGTCGAAATTTTGAATTTTGATATCTCAGCTCTGGAAGGGTCTAGAGCCTCCATTTTTGCACTCAGGTCAAAGTCTCACGGCCCTCTATCATAATCCAGAGTTTTGAGAAGATTGGAGAAACTTAATTTTTCGCCCAAAAATGATAAAAACGTAAGGGGTAACACTGTCGTTTTTTTTTCGGGTCGAAATTTTTGAATTTTCGATATCTCAGCTCTGGAAGGGTCTAGAGCCTCCATTTTTGCACTCAGGTCAAAGTCTCACAGCCCTCTATCATAATCCAGAGTTTTGAGAAGATTGGAGAAACTTAATTTTTCGCCCAAAATGAAAAAAAAAACGAAAGGGGTAACACTGTCGTTTTTTTTTCGGGTCGAAATTTTGAATTTTGATATCTCAGCTCTGGAAGGGTCTAGAGCCTCCATTTTTGCACTCAGGTCAAAGTCTCACAGGCCCTCTATCATAATCCAGAGTTTTGAGAAGATTGGAGAAACTTATTTTTTCGCCCAAAAATGAAAAAAACGAAAGGGGTAACACTGTCGTTTTTTTTTCGGGTCGAATTTTGAATTTCGATATCTCAGCTCTGGAAGGGTCTAGAGCCTCCATTTTTGCACTCAGGTCAAAGTCTCATGGCCCTCTATCATAATCCAGAGTTTTGAGAAGATTGGAGAAACTTAATTTTTCGCCCAAAAAAAAAAAAAAACGAAAGGGGTAACACTGTCGTTTTTTTTTTCGGGTCGAAATTTTGAATTTGATGATATCTCAGCTCTGGAAGGGTCTAGAGCCTCCATTTTTGCACTCAGGTCAAAGTCTCACAGCCCTCTATCATAATCCAGAGTTTTGAGAAGATTGGAGAAACTTAATTTTTCGCCCAAAAATGAAAAAAAACGAAAGGGGTAACACTGTCGTTTTTTTTTCGGGTCGAAATTTTGAATTTCGATATCTCAGCTCTGGAAGGGTCTAGAGCCTCCATTTTTGCACTCAGGTCAAAGTCTCACAGCCCTCTATCAGAATCCAGAGTTTTGAGAAGATTGGAGAAACTTAATTTTTCGCCCCAAAAATGAAAAAAAAACGAAAGGGGTAACACTGTCGTTTTTTTTTTCGGGTCGAAATTTTGAATTTCGATATCTCAGCTCTGGAAGGGTCTAGAGCCTCCATTTTTGCACTCAGGTCAAAGTCTCACAGCCCTCTATCATAATCCAGAGTTTTGAGAAGATTGGAGAAACTTAATTTTTCGCCCAAAAATGAAAAAAAAACGAAAGGGGTAACACTGTCGTTTTTTTTTCGTGTCGAAATTTTGAATTTCGATATCTCAGCTCTGGAAGGGTCTAGAGCCTCCATTTTTGCACTCAGGTCAAAGTCTCACAGCCCTCTATCATAATCCAGAGTTTTGAGAAGATTGGAGAAACTTAATTTTTCGCCAAAAATGAAAAAAAAACGAAAGGGGTAACACTGTCGTTTTTTTTTTCGGGTCGAAATTTTGAATTTCGATATCTCAGCTCTGGAAGGGTCTAGAGCCTCCATTTTTGCACTCAGGTCAAAGTCTCACAGCCCTCTATCATAATCCAGAGTTTTGAGAAGATTGGAGAAACTTAATTTTTCGCCCAAAAATGAAAAAAAACGAAAGGGGTAACACTGTCGTTTTTTTTCGGGTCGAAATTTTGAATTTTGATATCTCAGCTCTGGAAGGGTCTAGAGCCTCCATTTTTGCACTCAGGTCAAAGTCTCACAGCCCTCTATCATAATCCAGAGTTTTGAGAAGATTGGAGAAACTTAATTTTTCGCCCAAAAATGAAAAAAACGAAAGGGGTAACACTGTCGTTTTTTTTTCGGGTCGAAATTTTGAATTTCGATATCTCAGCTCTGGAAGGGTCTAGAGCCTCAATTTTTTGCACTCAGGTCAAAGTCTCACAGCCCTCTATCATAATCCAGAGTTTTGAGAAGATTGGAGAAACTTAATTTTTCGCCCAAAAATGAAAAAAAACGAAAGGGGTAACACTGTCGTTTTTTTTTCGGGTCGAAATTTTGAATTTCGATATCTCAGCTCTGGAAGGGTCTAGAGCCTCCATTTTTGCACTCAGGTCAAAGTCTCACGCCCTCTATCATAATCCAGAGTTTGAGAAGATTGGAGAAACTTAATTTTTCGCCCAAAAATGAAAAAAAAAACGAAAGGGGTAACACTGTCGTTTTTTTTTCGGGTCGAAATTTTGAATTTCGATATCTCAGCTCTGGAAGGGTCTAGAGCCTCCATTTTTGCACTCAGGTCAAAGTCTCATGGCCCTCTATCATAATCCAGAGTTTTGAGAAGATTGG